CACTTACTCTCTCAGAGTTTTTTTGGACTTGATTTGTGCTTTTTGCGCTATACTATCTTATATATATGCCACTTTGAAATTACTTTGATACAATCAATGTTTTCAGAATTACTCAGTTGTGTTAGCTGTGATTGTTTTCAAGATAGTAATTGACGAATTTCGGAAGCTACTAATTTGAGTGACATCTTGAAGTGGTATTCTCTACTAGTTAACTCGGTTTTAAATACAGAACAGTGCTGAACGTAACGTATTCAGTGTAGGAACTTTGAGTAGAGAGCAAAACGTTGATCATCTTGGAGATAAACATATTTTTGTCTACAAAGAGAAGCTTTATTGCTTTTACATGCAACTTCCCATTAATCGGGAGCTTCGTATCGAAAAGTAACTTCTTTAAGACTTAGAGGTGATGGGATACTAGTTACCTAACCAGGTGCAGCAACATTGATAAAACAGGTGTAACTTGAAAAGCAGTTTGAAAATTTTCTCTTCCCACGAATCTTGAATTTAGAATATCGTTGGTGTATATATATTAACGAAACAGATATCTGGTTTAAGAATTCATTTTTTCGCAAGAATAATCACAAGCGACCCAGTAAAGATGATCTTGACGTCTAAATATACAATACCACTCAAAAATGTTTTTCACAGAGTACATACTATAGTTTTGAACTATATACTTAACCATATACGTATATATATATATATAAGTCCTTATAGCATGTGCACATCTTTTTTTAATGAACCAAAGCATTTGCTTAATCGTACGATTAAGCAAATGCTTTGGTTCATTAAAAAAAGATGTGCACATGCTATAAGGACTTAACACTTCAAACTTTGAAAAACCGTAATTATAGTAATATTATATCTTAAATGATATGTAAGAAAATCAGCTTTAGATTTTGCATTAAAGTACGGAATCTTCATTTTAAATGGCTGGGTCATAAGATTTCGAAGATTTAAACAGCGAAATGTCAAAAAAGATGATGGATTGAGAATAAATATTTCCATCAATCAAGAAATGTTCATTAGGATAACGATAATCAGACAAAATGGTCTAAATGACTCCAAACCAAAAGTTACACTAGAAACAGTTCCACATGATCAACACATTATAACAAAATCTATGTAGGCAGGGCATAACATTTATTATAAAGATTTGTTAACTATATAAATCAATTGCACGAAAATAAAGTGTAAATTAGTTTAAACCAACTTGTTCATCTGGCTCATCGATCAAATCCTGCATTTTATCTGAAAGCACTTACTGAAGGGTGGTCTATCACATTGAAAACTGTTCGAGGAAAGGGATAACAACCTGAACCATTAAAAGTGGATGGAGATGGAGTCAAAGTAACTGCTTTTAAGTTATGTGTCTTTAACAGTTATAGATTACTAACACCCTATCTCTAGGACACAGATAATGACAGTAAGTTAGCATAAGGTATTATGTTCAGTCCTTGACGAGGTAACTAATATCACCCTTCAAGACTCCGGTTAAGTCGCACAAATCACATAGAATAAGATTGCAAGGTGACTATACTTGATATTGGTTTGTGGGGTTAGTGAAATATCACTGGGCTCCAGCTAAATCATCCCAAGTTGAGTCACTGAATGTCGAGTTGTTCGCCAGTTAACTTTAACGCCGAAACCAACTAATGCTCGTCAATTGATTGAACGTTATGGATTGGTCCATGCTTCGATGCTCTCAATTTGTTTTTTGTGCCTAATCTTAATAATCTAGTACTATAATGTCCTTTGTGATGTACAGCCATCAGACCAACCATAGTACCTGGATACAACGTAAGGGTAATCTACGTTATATACCAACTGCGAGATGTGACTTCAACTTTTCCTGGTTTTTCGTATCATTCCCGACCAAATTCAGGAAGCTTTTGATCAATCGAAAGAGTTAATAGTACGTTAGTGATCTACAGGGATGTTGATTTCACTCGATTGTAAATGTTTTAAGTAAACCCAAATGAGTTTAGAGGGTGTTTACAGCACACTTTTTTGGTATTAGGTAATCATTTGTCTTCTGATGAACGTACTTTATTCTAGGTCAGATAGCTTTATTGTTTTCACGAATTCCTCGTGAAATATTGCAAATAATATTGATTTTGTAGGACGTACTTGAGAACAATTGAAAGTAATAATACCTTTAGGGAATATAAGAAGATATATTGTTTTTTCTCTCGGAGTGAAGCTGACTGGAACCGCTAAAAAATGAGTAAAAGCTTCCGATTGAGAACTAGTTTAGTTGTTGCTTTGTATCGTAGCATCAAGAAATAGTCTACTTTGCGACCTTCACGGTTGAACGTTAGACACCTAGGCCGTCATCCTCAGTAAATTTCGCAACTTTGGGATACATCAAATAAGAATTTCTAGATCAACTAACCGAAAGGTAATTGTATTAAAATATTTCGACATTGTAAAAGGTTTCATATAACTATGAGAATTAGGAACAGCCCTCTGAGTAATGTTGATGGTTGAAGTAATGCAAGATTACTAGTGGAAGAAAGAGCTCCTAAGTTACAAAACTTACAGGATTGATGGAAAAACTTCATGAGTTCATGATAAATCTGCCGTTCGGCTTTGTCGTGTTTAATTACCTTCCCTTCCTAGGTCTACCGTGCACTCCCCAACAAAGTTTACATTGTTTAATGAATTTACTATATGTGCCACTAGACATTACCTTTATCAACCACATACCTTTAGTTAGAGGTTTATCCTATATTTTCGCGATCAGAAGTCTCCTACCATAACGGTATTCTGTAGTGACAGTGAAGAAACACCAAAAACAATAAGAACGCAACTCTTTACAAAAACCTGAAAGTTTCACGTTCGGGCAATAAAATACGGATTAGAATAACATGCAACAAGTTTAGAGCAGGAACGTTATCAAAAGTCCTTGCGTATCACTTTCGTCTTTATGTTCAGTACGTTATTTTACCAAACGTGTTTATATGTCACAGAAAAGCTTACAGCTGAGATAGGGTAATATCAGATAGATAATGGGATGAATAGAAATAACATCATACAGAATGAACAGTCACATCATGGTTAGTCAACAATTTGGTATTTGGCTCGTTTTTAGCATAAATAAATGCACTAAAAACGGCGATAGACCTAAACTCCATGAACTATTTTGACTCTCTTAAATGTCAGTTATTGGGGATTTACGAGTGGCCTCTCTCTAACTTAAACATAGTAAGTTCGAGTGTCATGAAATTACTTTTTCAGTGTCTTATTACATTAAAATTTCGATTTTTTTCGATGCGCGCAATCTATCCCGCTAGTGTCGGATAATCTAGTACATCGATTGAGCGTTAATTATCCTACAAAGTATTGCAATGTAAGCATTGCTACCTATTTCCTACATCGAAAGTCGAGAATCCCACTAAAAAATTTCTTTAAACTCTGAGAACCATTTATGTGACGTACACATTATAGAGTTTAACTGAATATCTATACTGTGAGCTTATGACACAGGATCAAGTGGTGGGCAGAAGGAAAATTTTCCTCTATTAAAGATACTCGTAAGTAGATAACGCAGAACATTTTCGGACATCAATTTTAGTGAAAGTAGGAACACAACTGTTCTTCAAAACTTTAAATATAGGGAGCATGACATCAGATGACTGACGTACAAAAGACTTGTTTAAGTCATAAGCATTCGGCTTATTATCGCTTCTAGTATACCTGTCACCTGTAAGTCCTTTAAACAGTTTCCACACACTTAAGTTTCACAAGATAGGAGGTTCTGAGTAGACATAGAATCCAGACGTCGAATCTCTAGGTTTATTGGACCATTTAGCACACGAAATTCAATATATTTTTTCCTAGTAAATTCTTTCTTTTATCCTCCGTAATCGATTTAGTTGTGGAGATGTAACTCAATCAAAACTTAGAATAATGGTTTCAGTGGACAGCACATATCAAGACAGGATTTCAATAACAAATAATATCGATAATACAAAATACCCTGACAGTACAGATGACCCACTAAACACTCTAAAGTATGTATCGTACAAAGTGACGTAATATGAAAGACATGCTGTTAAATACAACCGTTAAGTGCCTTAGAGTAAGCAATTATACTACCTACAAGATGATGTGGAAACTTCTGTCTGACAGAACCAACTCAATTATCAAGAGCAACCGATATCATACATAAAAAAACAAAAAGAATGGCAAATACTAACCAAAAGTAACAAAATATTAAGAAACACGGAGTACGTTTTCACAAACCCCAAATAAAAGTCGGTATACAAAGCAAGGACTAAAATTCAGCAAACAGAAACTTTATTGAAGAGCATATCTCGAATGGGTGCCCACAGCGTCTATTTTGCGTTAAATTAGTTCGAATTATCGCACTCCTAGTGTCTGATCTTAAGATGACAGTTAAAAATATTTAAAAACATGCGTGCCCATTGGGAAACCAGCAACTCAGAATCTCAAGCATCTAAGCTTCATTTAGGCGGGGATATAACGGATAAATGAGAACCGCTAATGATGATGTACACTCAGTGGTTGTGCATACAAACCAACACTGTAAATTCAAAAGTACAGCACTGGTAGATCATTGTCAAACATGCTTACTTTAAAAGTTTATGAGATGTCAGAGCATAAGTATCCGCACTAAGTACGGTTGACTAACTCCTAAGTAAAGGCTACCAGTGATATCGAGAGAACTTGAACGTGTTGCGCAGCAGACCATATTAACAATGGACACGACTTAGCATTAGTCCGAATAACCCAAATACAGTTTCTGGTTTCAGTTATTACTTTGTATTCGGTTCCAATAACCTATAGACCACCAAATAACTTCTTACACATGAATCCGCACAAAAATTTATAGTCATAACAATACCAAAATAGAAGCCGGATGCACTAGTTAAAGATGAACCATAACAATGTGATTAGAACGCAAGACGTCGAACTATTTTGTGTTCCAACACGTAGCTACACTCTACTGAATTTCTACAAAACAGAACTCGTCCTTTGTTTGAAATAAATCTTTCTTTTAAATAATCATAAGCGAATAAAAGTGATCATTTCGGAGAACACTGTTAGAATTGAAGAATCAATAATAAAGATACTTTTATGTATTAAATGATGAACTAAAATTGTAAGAGAAATATGAATGCGTTTTTTTCTTCTTTAAAGGCTAGAATTACATAGTTAGAGTAGTAAAGCATTCATGAAGATAACGAAAACTAACAGGGGAAAAAGAAAACATGGATATAATGGGAAGATAATCAGCAAGCCATAAATGCACAAAAATTATCACAACAACAACAAAAAGTGTAAGGAACAAAAAGGAGATTCTGTTAAATATATAATGAAGAAAAAAGGTTATATAAGAGATATAAATATATGTATATATTTAATGAGATAATAGTATTCTCTCTGAGAATTCTCTACTTCAGATGATCCATAGAAATTCACTACAATTCGAAAACAAATAGAACGATGTGAGATTAATAAAAAAAACATTCAATTGAAAATCATATACCATTTATATGTAGAATGGACATTTGATTCTATCATGGGGTATGTAGTTGTAACACCTAACATATTTTCCTTTAATAGTTGAATTCATGTGTTGATTAAAGTTACACTACCATGGAAAATCTGGAAGCACTGGACGGATGTTACGTCCCAATATGAGATTTCTCAGCAATGCGCATCCATGGTGATCTAGCTTTAATCAACTTATGAATTCAACTATTAAACCACTACAATTTCGACAAACCCCCATTCTGATTTTCTTTTAGTTTTCTTCATGGTTTAGGACAGGTAGCGAATTCGTTAGTATTGTGAAATGGACGCCATAGGAAAGAGATACTTGTGTGTTATGATGTTTGAAGGGTAGACACAAGTAAAGATTGTAAAATGAGGAAACAGTAATCCCAGATTTGTCATCTATTACTAAAGTATACAGGTACAAAGCAACGCGGTGATTAAATGTGACTTTCATAGTGCTAATACAAATAATTATTTGGTTTGAACGATAATAATGAAATTAATACCTGTGATGTCATAAACTCTGAATAGTCTATTAATAGTGTATAGTTTAAGGTTGAAATCGTCTTGCCCCCAAATGCCCTGGTACGGAAGAGAGCGAGGAGAGTCCGCTCTCCCTCACTCTCCAAATGCTCTCACAGTCACTGCATGGGAAGTCCTACTCACTGTTTTCTCGCACTACGGGTGTTTTTTACGAAATTGAAAAGACGAAAAGCGAATGTCCAACGCTTTACCCGGTTGGTAGATATGGAGGATTCACCTAAGGGAGCTGGAAAACCCTGATTCCAATTCAATGGTGCACATAGGCTCCATGGTCCTGAGGAAACAAATGGCGTATGAACCGATCGTTGGTCACTGGCTTCCATGGGACTGCATCTCCTCACGATGCTCCACTGCCTTGTGGACCAGACCTTTGGATCGAATGCTCCGGGTGTGGTCCCCCAAGAAAACCACCCATTTCGGTTTGGGCATCCAGGCAGTATCCCAGCCCTCACATAAACCGAATGATTTGTGTGGCACATATGTATTTGGTGCCCCTTTGTACCAATGCTTATGTGTTTAAATAAATGAATGAATTCGTCTTAAAAACAAAATACATAAAAAACCCTGATATTTATCGAACAAAATTCATTACATAATAGGACAATTAACCTTAAGCAAATGTAAAACTTGACTACATTAGTATTACCGTTAATAATGAAAATGCACGCAAATGCTTTCATCTCATAGAACTTATAAAAAAAAATCTGGTGTATTAAACTTGATTGAAAAAAAACTAGTTTTTTATGTTGTTGTATCACCTGAGTGTAATCGGTGCAACTACAGACACAATAATGAAATTAATGTCTATTTTATGTATAGGTATGACAGTTATCAAACAATGAATCAAGCAATTTATATTATGGTCTAACGTTAGGAGTGAACAGTTTTTATTATGGATCTCGGTAGTATGTATGAACACATCGGATGTAGCTTCTCAGCTACTTAAAGTTTCAGGTAAACACAATAATATGAGTAATTAGACTAAAAATTCAGTATTTATCAAAGGCGTCCTCAGATCATTTTCATGAGATGTTACTGCTCATATCTATGAATAGTTTCACATTATTTAAGAGTTACAGAAAGTGAATAAAGAAGTGTCAGTGACAAGGTTTCTGTCTAAGAAGCCAAGATTGACGTGACCGTGATGGTGGGAATGATGTGAGTCAACTGTATTAATAATGGAAACTGGGGAATCCAGGCATGGGGATTATGTAGAAAGGTAAGAAGAGCTCCCTATGACAAGTAGGCTTCAGGACAGGACAAGTGGAGAAAAGACCACATGATAGACATCTTTAGAGAACTTATGGAGTGCGAAGAGAAACACGTCAATGCTTACATAAATATGTTTAATGGGCTTTTGTCAACATTTGATTTTGCATTAGGGACTACTGTAACCAGCCACAGTTAGCGAGGCTATCATCATCAGGCAACAAGGGAGTGAAACGGATGAACAAGAAATTGTGAAGATCAACTGTATGGCTAAGTGACCTAGGTTACACAGACAAGACAGATTAAGGTATAGTGTAAATATCAAGATCGAAATATGATGATGCGGTTGGCGGCAAAGGTTTTGCAGTCGGATAAGCGGACTCTTAATTGTTGTGCTGAGAAGCTAACAAAGAGATAAGGTAGGAAGGGTGAATATGGGTACTACAGTAATTCCTACTGTCTCCTTGTACATCAGGAAGTGTGAGAGGCAGCACTAAGTGCTTCAGTGTTCACGTGGCTCACTTTTGTCCTCAAAAACCCAGAAGTGTAAAGAAAGATAGCGTACTGATGCTAAATTTACGTTTAGTCGCTTCAAAATCTCGATTGCGGTTGTTGTCCATTGATATATTGTCAAGTGCTGATGAACTGAAACATCAGTAAACTGTCAAACGTTCTTATTATACGTTACAGCAATTACACGAAAACATTGGATTTTCTCTAAAGGCATTATTTTATTTAATATTGCCGAAGTGGAATAAGATTAGAAATAACTATTACTTACTTACTTACTTAAGTAAGGAACAACAAAATTATCGTCGAAAAGAAAAAGAATTTCGAAGCAACCAAATAAAGATCAAGTGCCAGTACTGTTAAGTCGGCTTTCGGAGAACTTCAACGGAGCCTCCAGAGGCCCAAAAGGAGCCGAAGAGTCCTAGCCAATCAGAGCACGGTGGAGCATTCTGGAATTCCGACGTGGCGTGCTACTGTTGGTCAGTAGCATAATATGTCGTTAACGGGTTGGTCGAAATATGATGTTGATTTAACAAAGGCTAACATCTATAAATACCCATGTTTTCTGTACAAGAACGAATCTTGGAGTAAAGTGTTTCTTTCATACCTTGCGTCTTTTTTCTGGGGTTCAGGTCGCTGTATAGTTCTAGCGTGTGGGTTATCAGTATAGTTTAGGAACGAATATAGAGTCCAATCAGTAAGACTTAACAAGTACACTAACTTTTTTTAAAATTTGCCCATTACAAAACATATATTCTCCATGTGAATTGAAATGAATTGGAATAATCCTTCTCATAGGAATACAACACTAGGAAACTGTTTGTCATACTAGTTTCGGACTCATCAATACCTACTACTTGTATCATAGCAACTAAGGTAATCTTCAGACTGCATAGTCGTTCCATAATTTTAACCTATCTATTTCAAACCAACCGACTACCCGATAGTGCTGGTGAATATCTGCACTCGATCTCAGACATGATTAAATTTGATCAGTCGCCTGTCCATATTATGATCAAAATCAACATAGATGTCAATAGTCATTGAAAATATGTTGATTCTCTGGGTGGGATATTTAAGAAGATATTTAGATTGAAGGTAGTTTTCGTCGTAGACATCAATCCTTGACATCTTTAACTTTCCATAGAGTAACTATGAGACAGAAAATTATCATTCAGTTAAATAGCTGATATAACTTAGTTCGAATTTGAAGAACCGAGGGCAAATGATACGAGTACAGAAATTTGAAGCTATATTTCTCACTACGGGACTATAGGATTTCATGGCACGGGCACCACCATATGTCGAAAAGTTGGCATGCACAGCTGAGGACTTTGAATTAAGCCGAAACATTTGTTCCGATGTATTTGATGTCGAAAAGCCGTTAGCATCAGTCCATGACGTAAATGATACAGGTAGATAAGCCAAGTAGATTAATAACATATTGTTTAAGCTGATATATGAATAATTCAGAATTACTTCGAGAAAAGTATGTGTATACGTTCAAAAAACTAGAGATTATAAGAAACATAATGATCGAGGTCAAAATCAACAATAAAAAAAACAGAGACAACCAATCCAGAGAATCTAACATGGTCTTTTATTAAACGAAACTATGAAGAATAATTAATATATAAGATGTTCTTACCGTTGGTTTCTCACTTTCAGCCAGTGGTTTCTTCTGTGAAACAGTAAGAACAGACAAAAAGCAGTAAGGTACAGACATAATCCGGCATATATATATATATATATATATATATATATATATATAACACCTTGGAAACGTACCTTCAAATTAGTAGAGCCCCAGGTTTGCTGACCCCCTAAACTTGAAGCCAAATTCGACAAGGTGCTATCTAATGCATCAAGTGGATTCTTGTTTTGTGATGCGGACATAACAACAGCAGGACGTATCGGAACAGTTGAAGGAACAGGTTTTAAACCTTTTTTAACAGTAAACAGAGATAAGTTTTGTGCTTAGTAACAACAGCGTATTGAGTTATAATAAGAGGAAATATTTGGAAAGTGAAAAAAATGAGCAAAAAATCTAACCAAATCGGCAATTTTCCACGAATGTGGTGCCAATTTCAATATCATACAACGTGCAGTAGACAACTGTTTTGCCCCAGCACACAACTCCTTACAGAAGTGACACGCGCCTACGATCTTGCAGACGAATAAATCGAAATTAGTCAAGACTTCTCGCGAATATATTTTCATCGAGACACTCATCTAGGTTCTAAGTAATGTATGATTGAGTTGGAATGTGTAGATAGCTATCATAGTATTGAAGGTTAATATTTTCCGATACATTCTTTATGGCGGTTCATTGTTTGAGCTGGATAGTCAATACACCACTAGAAGCATTCATTGTTTTAAAATTTCAAGTACAGCTTATTGACAAATACCAAAACAAAAACTAGGTCGAGAAGGATCACTTGTAGAATACCTTGAAGTAGCTTTCATTCAGACATAGTACATGCGATATCGAATAACTTGAGATCCAGTTATATATCAAGTTAGCCCCCAAATACCCTGGTAAGGAAGAGGGTGAGGAGAGTCCGCTCTTCCTCTCCAAATGCTCTCAATTGACCACGCTTATACAGTCACTGCATAGGAACTCCTACTCACTCCCTTCTCGCGGCATTACTGTTATGTACGAAATCGAGAGGACGAAAAGCAAATATCCAGCGCTTTACCGGGTTGGTGGACACGGAGGGTCCACCTAAGTGAGTTGGAAAACCCTCACTCCAAACCAATGATGCACGTGAACTCCGGGATTCTGAGACAACAATTAACGTATGAGCCTACTGTTGGTTACCGGCTACTTTGGAACTGCATCTCCTAACGTTGCTCCACTGCCTCATGGCTCGGGGTGTGGTCCCCTAAGAAAACCACCTGCACCCGGACAGTATCCCAGCCCTCACACAAATCGATTGATTTATGTGCCGCCTATCTGTTTGGTGCCTCCTTAAACCAATGTTTATTTTTAAATGAATAAATAAGTTGTAGACCGCCCCTGGTTGTTATTTATAATCACATTTATTTCTGTTTTTAACCAAGAAAAAGACAAGCTGACATTACTGCATTACCATCATTTAAACCCACTGGTTGATTTCATTTAGTTATGGCTAATACCGTAAGGAAACTTGGGTTAATAAGCATATGTTTCAGGACTTAAAATTGATCATGACTGGTTGGTAGCTTAGTGGTTAGCAAATAATAGATCTTAGAAAACATGAAAATTCGTTAATCAACAGGGTGTGTGTGCATGTGTATGAGTGTAAAATGTATCTATTCAATTGAATGATTAACATATTACACTGTTGCATAATTGTGAACAATCAATGATACGAAACGTTTTGAAAGTATATCCTCGAACTATGTAATTTCAATTTTATAGTTAGAAAAAAAATCTGGCTTCAAGAGGTATTTCCTAGAGTTCTAGTGAGAAGCAATCACCAGTGGAGTTCAACCGAGTCTATTGTGAGTTAGTAACTCACCAAAGACAATGGTGGACGATGGCACAATTATATATTAACACCGTTGGATGCCAGCTCAGTGGTTTAAAAGTTAAGCGTTCACGCACAAGACCGCTAGGTCATGGGTTTCGAATCTTACGAGGCGGGATCGTGGATGCGCATTGCTGAGGTGTCCCATACTAGGACGAAACGGCCGTTCAGTGTTTTAAGGTTTTCCATGGTGGTCTAGCTTCAATTGACTCATGAATTCAACTATAAAATCTAATAACATCCATGTATCTCATTAAAACACTTAATGATAAAGATGTAAACCTTCTTAATAGATTCAATAATGTTATCCAAGAAAACGTATTCAATCTAGGTTAGATCATAAATCCCTGTTGAGTCTATTTACTTTTTTTAATCGAACAAAAGGAAACTGTAAAATAGTAGACAATAATCACTCCAGGAACAAATATAGGCAAGCATTAACTAAAGCTTAACTGAACAAATAATAATGATGTTAATCCATACAAACCTGGAGGCAGTGAATTATTAAACGATGTAGGGGGATTATTCACTGGTATCTTTGTAGTAGTAGTAGTAGTAGTAGTACCACTGACGGAATCTTTCTCCAAAAGAGGATCTAATGCCAATAAGTCGTCAAAAACTTGAAATAGAAAAAAAATTACACGGAACAGTTATAAAATGAAGTCACAGTATTAAGATCGTTGAAATCTTCAACGTTAAAAAAAAACTTAATAACGAAGTATACACAGTTTCTTTTACTCTCATTTTTTTTGTATGACAGCTTGTAATTAAGAGAATGTAGTTACTAAGTACACATATGTGATATTTGATATTCAGCTAGATTGTCAGTACAAAGTATAGTGATATTATTCGATTATATATAATGAAATAGTCAGTAGTCAGCCCTAAGTCACATGGAACCTAATGTACATGTATACATCAATTCATATTGTTACATCATATCAATACAGTAAGACAAAACTGTTAATACATATCTTACATAAGGTATAAACAATGTGATTCGAGAAAGAATGAATTTCTGAGATAAAAATGTATAAGATCATTTGAAAAATTAGAGTCGAATAGATCTAGATCATTAAATAATCTTAGAACGTGTTACACAACGTCTCCTTCAACTATAAGTCATGAAGGTTAAGATGTTAGTCAGTCAGTCAGTCATACGCAACTTAGTATCATCGATTTAAGTTGCCATATCACACAGCGAGGTGAACTTATTTCAAGACAGATCCTAGACTAAATAGTAACAATATCAATAATATCAAGAAAGACAAAGTATAGAAGAAAAATGGTTTTAAAATAATTTCAGGACTCCAGTTCTAAAAGAAGATAAAGAGCGAATGTGTTTGTCTGGAATATCTTGGACGATTCTGAATCATTTCATCCAAAGTCTCTAATAATTGGTTACAATAATCATGTGAATCCCGATCATCGAGATAGGTGGCCTGGTTAATGCATATATGACATGCATACATCAATCACCTCAGTATATGAAGATTTATTACTTCATTAATCGAATTTTTGTATTTATCTAGTACTCTATACCCTAGTCTCAGGACTTCTCACGAAAGAAAGTCACAATGAAACAAAAATATTATGATTTCCATAAAAGTTCTTCTATATGTACATATATTTCTGTGTGGGTGCGGTGTGAGTGTTGTTTACGACATGTAGAGGACGCAAAGTAAATGTCCAGCGATTTAACCGCGTTGGTGGATGAGGAGTATATACTTTGGGGGGTTGGAAAACCCCCACTTCAAACCAATGGTGAACGTGGACTGCGGGGTCCCGAGTGAACAAATAGCGTATGAACTTATTGTTGATTACCGGCTACCATATTTTGATGGAGTTTTGTTCTCTAAGGTGGGTGGTTTGGTCATGGAGCCTTCATCGTTCTTCTGAACGATATCGTCAGCACAAACTTCAGATAGAAGTGAAGCGTTCGAATTTCTCCATATGTGGTTCACAACTTGTCCTGTAGACCTCGATGTTGATTGCTTCTTGTTGACCTTAAACCTGTCATTGTTCATTTTTTTGTTTCGGTTGTATCTCCTATTGGTTTGACTTTTGGTCCTATGTTTGTGCATACTTTTCCCGATTGGTTGATAAGTTGGGTCGATTTCAATGTGCTTGTTGATTGCTGATTGACCTAAGTGCCAAGCTTCTGAAAATTCTCTGGTGCTTTTAGAATTTCCTCTACGCAAGATTTCCACATATTTCCAGTCAAATGAGTGTCCGCAGTTGTCCACATGCATTGATGTAAGCGAGGATATGTCATGGCGTTTGACTGCTAATTGATGTTTATGCCGGCGAAGATGAAGAGGGTGTCCGCTTTGTCCGATGTAGTGTTTTTCGTAGTTGGCACAATTTATTATGTAGACGATGTTTGATTTTTCGTCCTTTGGTTTGCATAGGATTGATTGTAGTGATTTTGTCGGTTTGTACGTAACACCTATTCTGAAGGTTTTCAGCAGTCTCGTTGCAATTTCTGATATACCTTTTATGTATGGTAGGGTGAGACTTTTGTTGATTTCTGTGCTTGACTTGGTTTCTGATGATGGGTGCGGCTGGTATTTTTTGATGAAGTTGATTGGGTAGCCGTTCTTTTGGAAGACAGTCTTCAGGTATTTCTCTTCATTCTTTCGTGCTGCCAGTGTGTTGTATTGTGTCCTTGCCCTCTTGAATAGTTTGTAAGCAGTTGATTTTGTGAGCTCTTGAGTTGTTGCTATAATAGTTGAGAATTTGATCTGTATGGGTCGGTTTCCTATACACTTGAGTTTCCAGTTTTCCTGTGTCAATGACATCAAGTTCACAACGGAACAGCAGTCAAACAACAAACTATCATTCTTGGATGAATTAATCACCTGGAGATTAAAATCCTAAACCGAGTTAGTGGGTACTTAGGGTTCAACCCAGCGAAATCGGGGAACACTGATTCCCAAACGATGATGTACATAGGCTAAAGGATTCTCAGGGAAAGAACGAATGGCGTAAGTACTCATTCCGGTAACCGGCTAAAATGGAACTGAATCATGTAATGTTGTTGTACTGCTTTGTGTATTAGGGTTTTAGGTCAAAGGTCCGGGGAGTAGTCAACTAAGCAAACTACCCTTCATACCTGAAGCAGGACCTGTTGTATTGGTAGTAGTAGCAGTAGTATTGATAGCTGAAGGCTTTGATTCAGACTCCTTTCCAACAGACTCAGTTTGAGCTGAGAAAGGTATAGGTTCAATATTGGTTTGTGGAATAGAATCATTAGTGGACCATAAGTCAAGACCAAGTAAATCATCGATTGCTGAATGTTGATTGCTACCATGCATTGGTTCAACATGAGCTATGGAGAAGAGAAATGGAGCATAAAAAGACACATTCCATAATCAATAAGCCAATTCGTAAAAGCAGTATACTCAATAAAGCATAAAATTATTATTATACTATGATCGACTACCAGATAAGTTCGATCCATTGGTAAAATCATAAGTTCCCAAAAAACAATACAAAGAATAAATACATTTCCAGCCCATTCCAACTGACTTGAATTGCATTACCTCCAATCATTTACCATGACTATCTATCTCTAAGATTTGTAATTACTTACCTATCTACCTACGTAAGAACACGCTGGTCGATAAAACTATCAATGATTTTGTGGATTAATATTATGTAGTGGGTTTGACAACACTTGGCTTTCTCTAAACCTACTCTTCCTCCAACCTAAGTGAAGAGATAAAGAGTGAGTGCATCTGCGCCATATCACGTTTTCAACTATTGATCAAACTTATCGTGCTGAACCCAACCAGGTTGTCTGGATATATCAACATGGTTCAGATCAACAGTCACTAACTTCATATACCGATAGCACTTCAAAGTTTGGGTGGCCCTAGATTTCTTCCAACAAACTACTACGCCACTCAGGAATAAACACTGAGGTAGGCAGTGGAGAGAGCTTACGTGAAAACGTCTCTACCATCTCAGTCGATGAAGATTCGCTACCCTATCAACCAATTTGGCATCCTTACATAGTATTAGCATCTAACCCGTTACTCTTTAGACATTAATCCTTTCAACAGTGAACATCATTTCAACTACTCAGTAAACATATGTAAGGATATGATATTAGAAGAGACAGTAAAAGAGATAGAAAGTGCTGCGGTAATAAATAACTGTAGACAATTATTAAAACTAATCAAGTAAACAAGTGTTAAAAATGCAGCTGTCAGTGAGATTATGTCGGAAGATGTAACTGTTGTTCACTCTCAGTTCAGGATATTAACCAGATGAGAACATTTTACGTAACGATTCAACAAGCTTTCAACTGCCCTTCAGTTACTAACTATCTCAATATCATATAACCCAATTACCCTTTATTACTACGGAAGATGTCTGGTGTAGAAGTAGGTTGAGGGAAAGCTAAGAGCGGCTAAACTATAAACTGGCATCAGTCTATGAAGTCATTAACAATTGGGCTGGCCAATGTTAAGACGTTCAGACTATTTGGTTAGAGTACGAGTGACTGTCATAACCAATAGTTAGAGATTTTGAATGACAAGATGCAGAATCGTCCATGATAGCGTAAGTGCAAACGTTTCTTACATTCCCTTAGTCCCTGAAATCTTTCTACACCTTTTTTTTCTTCTCCTATACCATATATCAAATACATAACTTGCATATCGTCCATCAGTTGTTGCTTACGTGCTTCATGATTCTTGTAATTCCATTGTCATTACAATTACTTTCTGTTTTCTTCAATTGAATCTTACCGATCTTCTACTAGCATACATGCCACCTCCGATTGATGCTACATAATACTTATATCTATCAACATAAGAAGCACACACCACACTACTACTACTAACATCGTTACTACTTCTATTGCTCAAGGATTTGTCTTGAAATAATTCTGTTTCGCTGTGCTAATATGGTACGGCAACTTGAACCAACGCATATGTGTCGGGTTCTACTCTATCATATCACTGATAATACATATATATGTATATACATTTATTGGACAAATAACTATCAGAAATTTAAACTAACCTTCTGATGATTTATTTGACCATACATTAGTATCAGTATCAGTTACCGGTTCAACTGGTTCTTCATCACCAGCAAAAGGACTAGCACATACAGATGCAGAATCAGTCTGTGCATTCACTTCTACATTAAGACCTTGAAGCAGTTGACAAAACAAACACAGAATAGTTTATGAATGTAGAAGATATGATAGAACAAAGATATTTTGATATAATCTTGGTTAGTAAGTATCAATTTCAAACAATCATACATAAATACATTGGGTTATTGATAAACCAGTGACCAACTTTGCTAACTGAACGGGTTAGAAATGAGAAATAATATACATTAACAGAATCGAAGCCTAGTACAATTCGACAGTATGACTTCTCACTCGATTATATATATAACTCCGACGGCAGCTCTTCTGGGGTAACTATAGGCTGAACTACCTGCTTTTATTTTCGATTCTAAGACTGTCTTAATCTGAGGCTTGTGTTATTTTTGATCGCTGCTGATTGCTTTCGTTATCAAACGTAAATGCATTGTGTGCGCTTGCTGTGTTGTCGACTTGCCTTTTCTTGTGTTCTCCTATTTCCTAACCCTCTACCTCGCTCACAACGCTCTACATTCTTCCCTAGTATGCAAAGTACCTTCTGGCTAGACGCGAACTGTGACATTGGTCCCAATATCGAATAAAAGAGGATTGGCTGTGACGTCACATCAGTACATAAATAAATAATTTATTATGCAAAAAAATTAGGGTTAAGAGTTAGAATTACACTCGAAGAATAATCTGGAACTAATCATACCGTAGTAGACGCGACACACAAAGATGTTTGTAAGTAGTGTATAGCTGAACATGACGTCGAAGTTGCAACAATTGTGAAGACTTTCAGGGCATCAAAAGCACGGCATCGATAGAAGATTTGGAGACCAGATGAGAAGACAGTATAGATGGCAGAAAACACCGAAAGACGTGAATGGAAGATTGTAGACTATGAATATGTATTATGTAGCTTTTCACAATAAACATACATTCCTACTACTTATTGTCGCATTTTACGTTGGTTATGGAGAAAGTTCTCTGATTTTAAGTCGTTACAACGATTGAACAAGAATTAAAACAAATCATTCAAATCAATTTACCTAATGATGATGAATTATGTTTTGTCTTATTGATACCATCAGTATTGTCATCATCAATTGCTTCACTATCGCTTGCACTGATCGATGGTTGTTTCGGTGTAGTTTTCTCATATTGACGTTTAGGTGATGGGGGTGGACGAGCTGGTGATGGTGATCGTGAACGTGTCGGTGGCACTGATACAGTTCGATGTTCCGATCTGTGTAATGATTTTTTTAAATACAGTTTTAATATGATTTGAAAAAGTAAAAAGTTCGCTTAATTATTAAGGAACGGACTTGAGTTAAAACCCACTACAATATCTCCATCTAGTTATGCTGATCGCACTAGGCTGTAGGTGAATTATTCGGAAGGTATCTTTGACCGAGAATTCGCGTTGATATACTGGTCTACATACTACGAATTACTGTGTATCGTGATAGATGAAAATCCGATCCTCAGCTAGGCGTGACTACAAAATATCCTGCAGCTCCGAAAATGCCCTTAAGATGTCATCCACACACAAGCTGAGCAATCGTCCGTTCAAAGTTTCGTGTCGATGACCGCGTACATAGATTCCTTGAACGTGTAGAATAAAATAGTCAATGCTTTGGGTTATGATACATACTTCTAAGCCAGAACACAAACAGTCTAGTACAAACCAGCTGTGTGCCAGACAGAAAATTAGTGAATGGGAGGTCAGACTACAATACCCCAACAGTGTAAAACGTTTGGATTAGGAACAATAAATAGGCAGATTTCATATAAATAATATACGAGTCAGAGTGAACAAGCACACAACAACCACTCTATGTGATTTCCGTTGCCAGATCAAGAAACCTGGAAGTAAAGAGAACAACAATAAGACCAGATGACAGGCTAGATAGATGAAGTGGTGGCTTATCAATTAAAGTATTCAACTCCTAACCAATGAGGTTGCAAATTCTAATCCCGTTCCACCTAATTCAGTTTGAGTGACCTGCTAGTATTATTAGCCTTTGCGTAAATAGTGTGGGTAAAAGTCGAATAAATAAACCAGTGCTTAGTAGGTGAATCGCATAATCCAATCACTCCCCTAGGTTGGCTCTCCGTGTCCACCAACCCAGTTAAAGCGACGGAGATTCGCTTTTCGTCTTCGCAATTTCGTAAACAACGCCCCACTGCGAGGCATTGAGTAGGACTTCCTTGTTAGTGACTGTATACGCGTGTCCATGTGAGAGCATTTCGAGAGGGAGAACTTGCTTGAGCATCTGGGCTACCTGTTCCTGTCATCTAGATATTTCAATATGTTATCTATTTTTGTTTGTTTTAATATATCATTATGTTTATTAATCGCATAACCTATTCTGCTGCGTTTCTGAAAAGTGTACAACCTTTCGTTGTCAAAGTTACAAAAAACTCAATAAGAGACAATGTGGTTGCTGGCAATATACAACGGAAAGAATGCACATTATTCAGATGTTCATTCACTGAAGTGCTGACATCTAACTGGCGATCACTCGATATTTATCGCCAGGACCGACCAAGAAGTAAGAAACGGAAACTTGTTGAAATACTTTACGCTGAGAATTCTATATTGTACCAAAAATATAATATTGAATAAAGCTGATGATAACAATAACAATAACAATAACTCTCCCCACCCTCGGCTGTACCAGGACATTTAGGGGAGTAGCACTACACGACACGGGAAATTATTTTACAATAATGATGCATAAAGATTATATTTAATATGATAGCATTCACCTGCCCAATTGTGTATGTACTGGAACTTTAACTGCACCTTGTTGAGTTGAACGTTTTACAGCTTCGGAACTCTTGACAAGTGTTTCATTTAAGTGACCTTTAGCAGTTGCAATTATCTCCTCTTGTAAAGCGGAAGGTAATCCATCTAAAATATAAAATTCTTGTGAAGATTATAGAATTTTCAGGGTTTTTTCCAGGTAAAAAACTGATCTTCGTTAAACAATTTTTGGAAACTTGGAAGAACTGGACATCCCATTTTGTTCCAGTATAGTACAAGCTACTAAGTTGTATGAACGCCAATTTCACACACAAACACACACTACTACCAGTCAGAAGTATGCAACACAGAACCTGTAATGGGTATACACCGATTCAAATTGCCATATCCCACCAGTACAGCGAGATTAAATTGTCAAGGCGAATCCCAGAATAACAGAGGTAGTCAGTCAGTCAGTCAGCTACAACGTAGGACCAGGCACATATATGCATCGGTCCAAGTTTCTATACCGCATTATCACAACAAGATGAACACCGGATTCATAGGGGTAGTTAAGTCAATGGTGGTAATATATAAAGGATTGTGTATAAGGATATAGTACAGGAACAAAGAATTATTTCGTAGAAATAAAGATATGAGGCAATTTTCATCTCACAGTTTAACGAAAGACAAAGAGTGTATACACCTACGCCATTGTGATCGATTCTGAGCCATGACACCAAGAGTCTCCAACCATTGGTTACGATAGTCAAGCGGACCACAAACAAGTAGTCTGCATCTACCAACATGGCTCAGATCAGAAGTTAGTGACTTCAAGCACTGATGCCACGTTTTGGTTTGCCCGCCCCTAACTTGCTTCCAACCATCCCCAACACCAATTGGCATTGCACGTCGTGGTAGTCGGTATTAAGGCATACGCAACATAGCACGTGACCCGACCATCTCAGTCGATGAAGAGTTGCAACCTCATCAACTGATATACCATCACTCCCTAATACCCTGCGCTTCTAGCCTCATTAATACTTACCCGTTGATTCCAGCAGATGCCAGCAACATTTCTAAGGTATCTGTGATCAAATACTTGTAGCTTACGGGTATCTTCGACTCTTCATGGCCATGTTTCGCAGCCGTAAAGTAGAACGGAACGAATTGCCGCACAATATACTCGTCATTTTATTAAAAGACGGATATCTCGCCAGGTATTTCAGTTCTCGCGTCGGACGCCTAATCATTGACTAGTCTTTGTGCCATATGACAAATCGATTAAAGTTGAAATTATACGATTAAACGACAGTCCAGTTTAGATAGTTAAGCGCCCACCAATGAACCTAAAGGTTTTCGGTCCGATCCTTGGTGGGGTCGTGGGTGTGCACTGATGAGGAGTACCATGCTAGAACAAAACGGCTGTTCAGTACATTTTGATTCTTAATAGTACCCCGGCTGAGATCAATCTGCGATCATCACAACCCATGGATAATAGTATTGCCCAAAGGAACTTAGTAACGGAAGGTCGGATGTATTAACCACTAAGCCACCTCCGTTAATATGACGTAGGTTGGTGCTTGTTTCAACACTATAGGAAAAGAACTAAGTTAAAGAGGTGTCAGGATTAATTTCATTGGTGCGTGCAGGACATAGGATCAGCTGATAAAGGCATTGGTTGTTGGACTAAACCATCTAGGTAGATGCAGACTAATTAGTTGTTATCCTCATGATTATTGTAACCAATGGATTTAGCCCTGACAATTTTATCTCGCTGTGCTAGTGGAGTATGGCTACTTGAACCGATGTAAACATGTTGCAGATTTAACAGTGCATTTGACTGACTCACTGAACACACGACTGTAGTGGAAGAGGATTACATTATTTTATCGAAAATTTGACAGATGAAATCACACAAAATGATTTAAAGTATACCGTGCCGGATGCAAAGCCTGAATTTCCCCAGTTAACTCCTATGAGAGACTGTAACATGCGAGCAGTGTTGATGTTGACTTCCAAAGATTATAACGAAAATAATCATCATGACTACACTCTGGTTTCCAAGTAACACAATAAAAAATTGATTCTTGATAAAAATTACCTTCTAAAAACGATTATCATTTCATTGACATTGTGTTCAAGTGTACTCCATAAAATTTTTATTGATTAAATAACTTATCCAAACTGACCTTCATCATTTAAGACCAAAGTTGGATATGATGCAACAGTCGGTTCAGTTGTATCATCGTTCAATTGTTCAGATTGATCCAGAATATTAGAATCATGTGTTTTGTTTATTGATTCAGCAGCGTCATTGTAATCTCTGTTTCGATTAGGTGGATTATGGCTAGAAATCTTGTTAGCTTCAGTGGAGATTACGGTTTGACTTGGAATAGGTACAGGGAGTGTTGGCTTCTTTGGTACATTTGGTTTGGTTGAAGTATGAGTCTCTTCATCTTCATCATCTGATCTAGAAAACAAAACATATTCGCCATCGAGGATAAATTCTCGAGAATTTCCAAAAGTTATATATGCATATATATGGGATAGTTTACCGTAAAATTTATAGGTTACTGGCATCTGATCATAGATGTCTTCGAGTCGCTGCCTAAGTATGTTCAGACTACTATGGGCAACGACGAATTTTGGTGTAGTGCACCATCCAAGTGTAAGTTAATTTTGCAAGACTAGCAAAACCCTGAACCTGAGCTCACTCCTGGTAGTGAGAAGTTAGAAGTCAAAAAGTTCGTGTATTTAGGTAGCTGTGTGTAAGTGCTGACAACTGAAGTAGTTAGGACGTGTAGAAAGTATGGCCAACTACTGATGTTGGCTCGTATAGGAGTAGGATGAAAGAAACCGAGAGGCAACAGAAACAAGACATGGTATCAGTTCATAAAGTTATTGAATGAAAGACTAACATGTGTTGACCTTGGTTAAAATCAACACGATATCGTAATCTGTGTGCTTTCGAAGCTTTGAGACACAAAATTTCACAATTATATAGTGAGGTTCTACCCATACACTATCTATTTGCTCATGCTGAATTAGGGTTTAAACCCCGTGACGAATGGAAATTTGAATGCATAAAAGGCATGAGACATGACTTAAAACAATGAGATCATTCTTTGAAAATAGGAAAAACAACGTACCCCTTTTTACTTTCCAAAATTCGCAAGTGTTGCTCCATGGCTTGAATAACTTTCTCTGGGACCTGAATGAGTGGAATCAATAAAATCAAGTATTGTGGAGATAGGAAATAACAAAGCAAATAGACAATAAATAGATATTGACTAGTTAGCAGTTTTTTAAGTATTGACTTTATAAAGAGAGCTAGAAAAATATCCAGAAACACTGTTCAACTGTTTCGAACTATGACAGAACTCTCCTTCAGAAATGCGCATCTACGATTTTAGGTCACGAAGTTACATTCTTGGCGGAATAGTCGATCGACACTACTGAATAGTTCCACACTAGAAAGAAACAGTAGTTCAATACTTCCTGGTTTATAATCGCTTATCATGAGTATCTTCGAAGCATTGCTTATATATCCTGGGACCACCGAGTAAGTAATGCAGTTGTTAGGAAGCAGGTACTAGGTAGGAATGGCAAATCAATTGATGAAGTAGTGAAACTTCATCAGTTGAGATGGTTGGGATATGTGTTACGTATGCCCAACCACCGACTACACCGACGTGCGATGTTTTATGCTGTAGGAGATGGTTGGAAGAAAGCTAGGGGCGGCCAGACCAAAACATGGCACAAATCGATTAAGTCACTGGCAAGTGGACTGAGCCATGTTGGTAGGTGTAAACTACCTGGTTGGAATCCGCGAGACGATAGCAACCGATAATTAGAAACCTTGAATGACAGGGCCCAAAATCGTTTGCTATGGCGCAGGTGCATCCACTCCTTGTGTTCTCCCAAATTCTAATCTCAATTCTTCATATCCCTTATTTTTTTTCCAAATTTATTTCACTGGATTATACTTCTTGAATAACATCTTCAAACCATAATCTTTCCGATTACTGCTTATACTTTTACTACCTCTACCATATGGGATTTGAATCGACAATTGTATCTGTGTGCTAATGTGGTATGGCAACTCAAACTGATGTACGTAAGTAAGAAGTTCTACGTTGTTGCTGACTGACCGACTGATTTAGGCATTCACTGGAATTCCCAATCCTGTTAAAATGAGGCGATAAAAATAATTGATTTTCCGGAGAGGACATTAATTTGAAGCTTCTATGCCCCATATCGCATAGCCGATATACATAATCAAAAACACTGTACAATAATTTTAAAAATGTAACTTCGATAATACATACTTGTCGATTATAAATTGGTATCAAACCTTCATGGATTTCATTTATAATTTATTTCTGATATTAGAGTATTCAAATTACTGAGCTACGTACTTAACCGAACTCAAAGATATGTTAGGGCTATTAATATTATTTAGCCAGAGTAGGTAACATCCCGGCATTAACTCTCTAGCTGAGCCTTCTCCTAGTCAAACGACGAAATGTATAAATTATTCACGATTATTCACTAAGATTGTGAGAGATATCAGAGTGTCAGATTCCACTTTATGTGAGTAATTTGAGTTACCAAAGAAAAACAATAATTACACATCTGTATGTTTAGACATTATTATCAAGTTGAAACTTACCGGTTGTAGACCTAGACTATCCTTATCGCCAATTCCCAAACTCTATAAACACAAGAAAATTAACACGAAGATATACGAAAATTATGTATTGAAAAAAGGGTTATAGAACTATTCGGGAAACGACATGATATAAATAGCTGTAGCGCTTTAGCAACACAGTGTAATTACTAATATAGCGATGAATATATATGCAGTCGTTTAAGTTCAATCGCCTTCCATTTGTGTGACCTAACAAATTGCCCAAAAGAACTTGATTACTTTTCAACAAAGGGATTAGATCGAATCAATAGTGATTTTTTTTGGAATTTTAATAATCCAGCTAAGTGAAGTTGTGAACTACTCCTGTTGTGTTCTTGAATGAACACTTAGCCAGTTGGATTGAGTACTAGTGCATTATAGCGAGGAAACGCTAGTGACAAATGTATATAAATAATTCAGGGGATTCTATTACAACCTTACAAGACCGCAATTATTAATCTGTACCATGTACCATCAACCAAACTACTCGTACATGTTATCAAGGTGATCCGTTATATCTTAGACATTAAACACACTATATATGGATTTCCGTTAATACATGCAAAACTGAGTTCAATATGACTTTAAATCTACAAAAAAAGACAACATAAGACCAAATTACGAATGTTCATATAATGATTTCCAATAAAAAACAGAACTCGTTATTACATTTAAGGAAAAATGTGTAGTTGGAAAGGCTTTTAAGGGCAATCTAAAATTGAATAGTGGGTAAGTACTTACAATAAATGATACATACCTCAGCAAGTGCAAGGAATTCAGTAAGCTTCGATAATAAACCTGGAAAAGCATGATATAGGTCCAAGCCAAGACGACATTGTCTTCGTTTCAAAGTAAAGTATTTCTCTATACATCAATAAATCAATAAATATAAGTATGAGGTTGTGGAGATTGAATTTCATTGAAATTGTGAACTGAAAAATGTTAAATGATCATCGAAAACCTAGAAGCATTGGATGGCTATTACGTCCAGGTGTGGAAATCTTCAGCAATGAGCATCCAACAGTCCACACGCGGGAATCGAACCCAGGACCATCATTCTCTCTCTAGACTACTGAACGGGCGTCCAACAATGTTAATGCCTAACTTCGACTAATAAACAATACTTCATGAGAGACTGGAGGTCCTAGGTAAGATTCCTGTGTGCGGAGTCGAGTATGAGCATTAATGAAAAGCCCTATAATAGGACAAATGGCCGGATAATGCTACCAGGTTTTTAATGGTGATCTAACACTGATTAATTCATGATTTCAATTAGCAACAATTAGCATAAAATCTGGGTTGATCAAGTTTTTTGTGGCTGCCTTCAATCTCCTAGAGCAAGCAATACTCCACCTGAGGTTGTCCAAACAGAAATACATAGTTCGAACATAGGATACAAACTAGTTAACTGTTAGGTAATGCTTGCATATGAATAGATTGTGACATAAAAATACCAGTACAACTATGTACAAAAAGTAGTTATCATTATTTATTTATTTTAACACATGAAAATCGGTACAATAAGGCACCAAATACATATGGGCCACACAAATCTCATTCGATGTGTGAGGGCTGTGATAGTGCCCGGGTGCCCAAACCGAAGCAGGTGATTTTCTCAGGGGGCCACTCCACGAGCCTTCGACATGAAGGTCTGATCCACAAGGCAGTGGAGCATCGTATAGAGATGCAGTCCCATGTTAGCCAGTGACCAACGATTGGTTCATATGCCATTTGTTCCTTCAGGATACTGGAGCCTATGTGCACCATTGGTTTGGAATCAGGGTTTTCCAACTCCCCTATGTGGACTCTCCATGTCCACCAACCCGGTTAAAGCGCCGGACATTCGCTTTTCGTCCTCTCATTTTCGTAAACAACACCCCCGCCACGAGAAGGCAGTGAGTAGGACTTTCCTAGCAGAGGCTATATACGCGTGGTCATGTGAGAGCATTTCGAGAGGGAGAGAGGACTCTCCCCACTCTCGGCCGTACTCGGGCATTTTGGGGGCACAAAAAGTAATTACAATTACATTGTTATTACCTTATGGTTTGAATTTACAATTATAGGGTACACAAACATATATGTACTAAGCCAGTGATGTATAAGAGATGACATTTTAAAATAGTCTACAGAATGCGACCAATAAATACAGCACGAATAGAGAGTTGTACATTGTTAGAGATGTCCAATTCCCAAATACAACTACTTATAGTGAAGGAAGTTAATATTGATTTGAGATCAATGTTAAGTCAAATTTCAAAATATTTGCGTTTATAAATTTTAGTCATTGTAACCGACTAACTCAAATGTACTTTTAAATCTGTTCAGGTCATGATCGACGAAGCCTTTATTACGAAACTGGACTTTTCACTCAAGTTAATAGAGCAGAGAAGTAGTTACGTTCATTGTATTGATGTCGAGAAATACAGGCTTAATGAAAGAACATATCACACACACTTTAAAACACAGTTAGGAAACAAGATAATTTCTAAGCTTTAACTAAATGTTATATGGGTAGATCAATTCATCATTGTTACAACAAGGATGGATGACTTGATTGCACACTACTTGTGAGATTTAGCTTTGAACCTTTTTCAACTTATTCGCTAACTTGTTAGAGGATATTGTGTTTTCGACGAGATACTGCATTTTGACTAATTTGGCTGATGATATTATTATACATCACCTACAGAATGTTAAACTATTGATAAAGAGTATCTTATTTGATTGCAATCAACCAATGACATTCGGAGAAGGCATGAAGTTCATAAATGAGGTTGCTTTACAAGCATAAGTTTCAAGTGTTACGATTAGGATGTTAGCATTTCAACAATCTACATACTTTATAATTTCATCGTTCATTAGAAATATTTTATTTACAAACGCGCCATAATAACTAAGTGACACTTAATCGGTTGATTTTAAGATCAACCTTAGGATCACCCAAGTTCTATAGGATTCAGATTCAAGTAGAGAGGAATCATAAAAAAAAGGTACAAAAGAATGAACACTACCATAATATTACAAACAAATACGTCAATTTCAGAAACATCGACACGACCATTCAAAAAATTACGTTAGCGTTGTTATAGAATCTCAGTCTCATGACAACTCCGAGAACTGACTTTTCAAATTTGACACTAATTAACATATGGTTGTTATTGGTGTGAGGAGTTTGTCCAGACTATTGAATTTCGAAGTTCAGATCAAGGACTAACTTGAACCAGACAACCATTGTAAGTTGGGGAACCGTAATCACCTGTCGCTTCCTAGCATAGGACAGGATCATTCCGGACTAAGGACTGACTCTACTACCCTACATGTGGGGTCGTGAGTAAACATTGCTGAAGGGTCTTTTACAATGATGAAACAGTCGTGTTAATGTTCTCGGATTTAAAACAGTTTTCTAGCTAAAAACCAATTTGCGATGCGAACTATATGAGAAAGAAAGTCAACAACTACACCAAGCTTATGTTGAATAACTTACCTATCAAATTAATCATACCCTCATTATATGAGGCAAATAAACGAATCAGATCTTTATACAACAATAGGAAAGCAGCGTTAATAATTGCATTGTTCAAGTCTTTTTCCAGAGCCTATAAAAATATAAAATAACTAACATTCAATAATTAGCTAAAACTCATACAAAACTATGCGTTTTTTTTTTCAAAAATACGTGTAACACTATAAGTGCTTGATTCAATTTAGTTCACCGTACTGACTGGTTACATTAGAAGATAAACCAATTAACAATTAGTTGATTCAGCTGGTACACAATAAAATAAATCACGAATAGTTATACTTAGAGTAGGAAAGGTTTGAGTAGTGTATGATAAATCTTAGCATAACAATTCAGTTTATAAAGAATGACGATTAGGTAGGGAAATAACGCTGTATTCAGATGATGAAAGATAGATTTGGATGTTAGTCAGTTATGTGCAACTTGGAATCTGACATAGTCGTGTCAGTTTAGGTTGAAACACTATACTAGAATGACGAGATAACATTTTCTCAAGACAAATCACAGAGTAGAATTAGTAACACTTTCAATGGATAGTGGAAAAGACTGGGTGTAACAAAAGATAAACAAAAGGCATAGGCAGATTTTGGAGTTCAGTCTCCAGCCATTAGTTATGATGGCTGCGTGGACCACGACCAAATAGTCTACACATACCTAAATAACTGGGTCCAACTGCCAATAACTTCGTACACTGACGTCATGTCATTATTTGGGCGCCCTAAGCTTCATTACAATCCACTCTTATACCAAAAACAACAACGCTCGCCAAAGTACGCGGTGTTTGGGCAGACATGATACATGTCCCATCCAACTCAGTTGAAGATTCACTATCTTTATCTAGTATCATATGCTTAACTTTGGTTGGTAGACGGACAACTCGCCTATGTTACAGGTGACGCAACTAGGTGAAAGTCACCCAAACCTTCTCAATCCATAAATTTGGATGAATATAATTTTTGGTTGTTAAAGTAATCAATAGAGTGCTAATTGTAATGATGCACAATACGATCGACTATTCAAGAGATGGAATTGTTATTACAAAAGTCATCGGATATCCAGACAGGAAAATACGTCTGGATATTTTCAAAAATGAATGAACAAAATAAAAATGACAGAATCAATATTCTTATCCACAAAACTTACATCAAATTCTAATAGAGTTAATATTTGAGATTGCATCACAGGAAGAGCTTTCAATAACTGAATAAAAAAAACAAATCATCAAACACTAAAATGATTGTAGAATTAACCACTAAGTAAATAAACCAGTGTAGTTCAATAATGTCGAGTGAGAGAAAGTTACTCACTGAAAACAATAAAGGACGATCGTGTAATATCGTGGATTGATTGAAGTATGACCTGTATACCATTGGATCCAAACTCAGTGGTATAAGGATTAGGCATTCGTGTGTGAGATTAAAGGCCGTGAGTTTGAATACCGATTAGAGAGTCGTGGATGTGCACTGCTGATGTGTCTCATACTAGGACGAAACGACCATCTGATCCCTCCAGGTTTCAATTGGTTTTATAACTTAGATCGGTTCGCAATATCAATGAAATTCAACAATCTCCACAAGCCTATGGTGAAAATTGAAATAATGAGTGAGTTGTGTGATCAGTTGTTCGGTATGCCCTTATGCCTAAAAATTAATTTTGTTACGATGAAGAGAATATGGGATAAAAACCTCTTTTATAACACAAATCCATTTTCAAATTATAAAAGTCCCTAGAGTATTTGGAAACAAAAATATTTGAGTGAACACTTGCTTTTAATAACACATTGATTCACAGATTTTAAGCAAGTTTAGAAGGTAATGTTACCTAATGAATATTTTTTCACAGGTAGTTGAACTGATTCGGATTAAATTTATGTAAGAACACAACAGACATTATGTTGGATCCATACAGGCAAGTTTCTTCCATCCATATCCAACACTAGTCAGCTTTGTGCGTCCTGGTAATCAGTTTTCAGGCATACAAAACACGTGTTCTAACCATCTCAGTCAATGAAAATTCACAACTTCATCAACTGATATATCATCATTCCCTAATACCCTGTGTCTAACATCACTAATACTTACCCGGTGATCCCAGCAATACTAATAAGGCATCTGTGATCAAATTCTAGTAGCTTACAAGTATCTTCTACTTTTAATGGACACGTCTCACAGCCGTAAAGTAGAACAGAACAACCTGCCGCGTAGTACACTCGTCCCTTAAATGAAAGACAGTAACCTAGGCTTCGCCATAGGTGACCCGAGTTGGCAAAAGCCAAATGAGCTTTATGAATCCACACCTAATCAGTCAGTCAGTAACAACGTAGAACTACGTACGTACGTACATCAGTTCGAGTTGCCATACCACATTAGCACAGAGATGTAGTTGTAGATTTAAATCCCGTAGTGGTAGAGGTAGCAAGAGTATAAGCAGTAATCGGAAAGATTAGGGTTTGAAGATGTTATTCAAGGAGTATAATCCAGTGAGATAAATTTCGAAAGAAAATAAATAAGGGACATGAAGAATTCAGAGGATTAAAATTTGGGAGAACACAAAGAGTGGATGCACCTGCGCCATAGCAAACGATTTTGGGCCATGTCATTCAAGGTTTCTAATTATCGGTTGCTATCGTCTCGCGGATCCCAACCAGGTAGTCTACACCTACCAATATGACTCAGTCCACTTGTCAGTGACTTAATCGATTTGTGCCATGTTTTGGTCTGGCCGCCCCTAGCTTTCTTCCAATCTACTCCTATACCACTGAACACCGCACGTCGAGGCAGTCGGTGGTTGGGCATACGTAACATATATCCCAGCCATCTCAACTGATGAAGTTTCACTACTTCATCAATTGATTTGCCATTCCTACCTAGTACTCGCTTCCTAACAACTGCATTACTTACTCGATGGTCCCAGGATATACGAGCAATATTTCGAAGACACCTATGATCAAATACTAGTAACCTACGGATATCCTCTACTCTTACCGGCCATGTTTCACTGCCATAAAGTAGGACGGGACGAACTGCTGTGCAATAAATACGTCTTTTGGTTGATAGACGGATATCTCGCCTACGCCGTAAATGACGCAAGTTGGCAAAAGCTAGTCAAGCTTTCTGTATCCATGCTGAGATTTCGTCACACATCAGACCAAAAGAGCTGATGAGACTACCAAGATAAGTGGAGCGGTCGACACGCTCAACTACTTCACTCCCTATGATTAGTTCAGGTGTCGATGCAACTCAATCCTGAAGCAACAGATCGCATTTCGAGGGGGAGAATCGCATGCCGAACATGCTTGGATTGTTGCTTAGAGTGGCCAGAAGACTGTATTTTGTCAGTGTCTTCACCAAATAGAACTATGTCATCGGCATATTCCAAGTCAACAAGTGAATCTCCCGGTAGAAGTTCAACTCCTGGAAATTTAGATGAGGAAAGTGTTGTCTCTAAAAGTACGTCAATGACAAAGGTAAACAAGAATGGAGAGAGTGGGCAGCCCTGAAGAACACCACCACGCCTAATTAAGACTCGTGAACTGCAAACACGAGAAAATCAGACTGGCTTCAGATCTAGTCGTGGTTGTATCGACATATTCAGTATTAGTCAGGTTTTAGAACACAGGCATGCTTATCGGTGTCCGACAATGATATTTCTTGATCTAAAAGCAGCATTTGACCCTGTACACCGAGAGGTTCTGTGGCAGTGAAGGGTGTACCTCAGGAGTACATAAACCTTGTGTAGGCTCATTACTCGAACACTACTAGTCCAGTCAGAGCTTATGGTGAACTGTCATTTGATTTTGCAACCTCAAGTAGTGTCCGTCAAGGCTGTCCATTATCTCCACTTTTGTTTAACTTCATCATAGACCTACTGCTGGAAATAACGCTCTCGTCGACTGGATTTTCGGGCATTGATCTCCTATCAGGAGGTCCACCTATCGGCTTAAGATACGCAGATGATATAGTCCTGTTTAGTGAAGACGCTGATAAAATGCAGAGTCTTTTGGTAGCACTGAGCGACGATGCCAGAATTTTCGGGATGCGTTTCTCCCCTTTTAAATGCAAGTGGTTGCTCCGGGACTGGTCTGCGTCAACACCTGAACTGAGATTAGTGTGTTTAATAGTCGAATGATTACACTAGGATCTTGTATGTGTTTCGGATACATAGCACATATCAACCGTAGGAGATTCTGTAGTTCTAGCTAAGGTCTTCTGGCGGATTTTACATAGGCTCGAATGTGTAATCTGGAGCGAGGTTTCATTTGACCTGAGATAGTGTTTAGGGCACTAGAGTCGTTGGCTAAGGTGACACTTGAGGCGGAATCAAAAAGATGGGTTTTGGTGTTGAAAGTCGATGTGGGAGGAATAATAGGAATTAAAGAGAGAGATTAATTATGAATACAGTAATCTTTAGTGCTCTTAGAGGTATGAAAGAGGTTATCAGTTCCCGGTTGCCCACACATTAGAAGGGTTCTTCTGGAGGTACCTGTAAACGAAATTGGATTAGAGGTGGTCTTAGTGACTTGAGTGCGTGACCGCAGTGCCCAAGGGACAACTGCTTGAGGTCAGTCACACACGATCCCATGTCATTTAGTTTCACGGTTGCAGACGTTACTATTGAACTATTCGAGTTACTACAAACTTCCTGAGACTGAGACACATTTACAATCGGTTGATCGGTGAGTAATGACCAATGTGTATGTAAAGTTCTCAACGATGGTCGAAACCTATTGCAATATGGTTGCACTTTTCTAAAATATTTTCCTGATAAAACTTTAACAGTGGCAAAAACACTATACTCAGAATTTTCTGACTAGTCAAGAGAACACAAAAGCTTACAAAACTTTGCCAGCAGTAACAGTACTATGTATAAATCTTATCCACAAAAATCAATCACTTGAGATCTTAAGTAGAATCTCGAATTTTGAAATTCGTAACACAGCAGTGCTTTTCACAGCAATAGACTTGTTTATGATTTGTCTCATAATCTAGTTGAATAAAAATTTTGCTGAGTCAGTTTTTTTTTTCTATTTCTCTTCGAATTCTCATTGTTTTGTGCGGCGCATATATATTGGCGCTCTCTTGTACCAATATTCATGTGTTCAAATAAATAAATAAATATTAAGAGTAGTTCATTAACTAGATGGCAAAGTTTGACGGCTGATGAGTGTCGACTGGCTGAATCTAAGAGCGTTGATTACATAATGCATATCTGATATACAAGTAAGTAAATTAGTATGGCTTCTTTATCTATTAAGGTAGGTTGTTATCCTCTTACATTATATTTTCTGTTGAGTCGTTACTTAATTTTATGCTAAGGGTGTTTTGGATCCTAAGCACTTGGAGTTACATAATTTTGGCAATCCAAACCTAAGTACGTCGAGCGAGTTCTTAACTTGAGACATGATGGCTGAAAGTCAAGTGGATTAAAGACTGAGCCATCTTAGTGTTTTAAATCATTACAGATGTGTTCTATCATGGAACTTTATACTTATAACTAGAAGTTTATGATGTGATCTCATCTTAACACAAGACATTTTGAAATTGACATAGGCCTTAAATATGAAATAACACGACTGATCAATAAGTGAAATGAAGCTGAAAGTGGCATAACGGAAAAAATATTCACACCAAACAGTAAAGGTTAATCTGAACTAGGGAAATAACTCCTCATATAAGTTCCTGATGTATCTCAACTAAAAACCATGTCTTTAAAAACACAACAAAGTATTGGCTACAAATAGTGATAAAACTCATTACCCACAACATAAATGTCGCACAACACAGGTTACCTTATCAACTGGCATTGTTCGCAAAACACCATCATCACGCCTAATAAAAACAGAGCCATGCGACCATAAAAGCATGTTTAAAGTCAAAAAACAGAATAGTTAAAGAGAAAGCCCGGATAGGTAAAAAAAACGTTTAGGTTTTCGGACCCCGTTAACATGAAAATCAGTATAATTAGGGAAAAGTAACAGGAAAATCACAAAACTGAAAGCAACAATACTAACAGTAATGTGAATCTAAAAGCGGGGGTTTGAAGATAAGAACCAACAAAATCTCATCGTAATTCCAATTGATGGTTTGGTCTAATAAACACTTTTTCATTACCAAAGGACACATCAACTGTATAAATATTGTCTATGAAAGCAGCTAAAATTACTATTACAGATGACTTAAGGAGACTCTTCACATGTGGAAATGCCAGACTGTTAGACATACTACTTAGCTTGGTTACAACTATTGCAACCAGTCAGCTTGAAATCTTAACATGGCCAGGATTTTAACTTTACTATTGACGACACAGAACGAAATAGTCTTAATATAAATGTGCTTTAATTTATGAAAAGCTTTAATCGTTCTAGGAGCAATAGCCGAGCAAACAGCAAATGGGACAGCGGAAATTAAACAAAGAGTAAACTTAGGTTAGCTCTTTGTATAGACTATTATCGGAGGATATAAAACCATCGACAAACATAATGACAATAATCTCAAGTCCCTACAAAAATGAGCAACTAAAAATGTCAACATAAATATAACTCAAGTTTTCTCAAGATACTCTAAACAACTGAACTTGAAAAGAACTTAAGAATAACTTTGACAACGAAATATAACTGACAATACTAGTTGACTAAAAACAAATTTAAAATTAAAAAATAACCTACCCTCGTTTCACTTTGCAAAAGTCGAAAGCCATAGCTCTGTAAGAAGCAACTTTTTCACTCAAGTATTTTGAATACTTGCGAATGAATATGGACATTTCATAAGCTAAAAAGATTTGCCATCATTATTAAAAACGCATACACTGAGAGCTTGTTTTATCATTAAAATGTGGAAGGTCAATTGGACAGTTATTGGAGGCAAGATAATGTGAAAATTTCTATGATGAAACAGTGGGACCTTATAATTTGTTACCTCATTCCCAAAATTCATAAGGTTGTGAGTAGTTATGAGAGCTTTAAAGACAATCACCCATGATTTTTCTTGTGTCCTTTCCACAAGAAGCCCAGCAAGTAGTGGGATAGAGACATTAGGTTCATTACTGCAGTTTACTAGGTCTATTTAAACTATTATTTCTTAAACTAAACCATACAATCAATGTGCTTTTTCTTCGGAGCACCAATTTCCTCTGTGGTTGCTTTCGCTACGACTTTCCCGAGACCAGAACCTGCCAAACTGTACTTTGCTTGCGTGACTCTATCCATTAAGCTCTGACCTGTCCCACTCCCCGCTAACTGCTTAACAACCTTGCTCGCAGCTTTGGCAGACATCACAACTGTCGATGAGAAAGTTGATTCTCCCCCTTAAAAAATCCCCGATATGGAGGTCAGTGTTCAATAGTTTCAAATCTGAGACTATAGAATAAAAGGAGCATTCTCTCATCTGGCTTCTGCATATACGAGAAATACACAACCAGGTAGATACAAGATGGTTTGAAAAGACGTTTGGAAACGAATGGGACACTTGTTCAAATTAATGGTTCGAATGGTTACAGACGCAATGGAAGAAGCTTTTGCTTAACGGGCTTCTGTATGTAGTAGCGGTAGATCATCGATGCCTCCAGGCAAGAACCTAGGTATACTCAATGAGAAAAGAGAAAAAAAGAATTAGTAAATTATATCGCTATACTGTCTCTAATCCTTATAATGTGTCAAGATTTCGCTTATAGGACTTCTGTGAAGTCATTTTAACCAAATCAGCTCGCTGTGAATTCCAACATTTAACTACTTTTAAGGTGCAGAAAATTGGCGTACAGTTCATTCTGCTGCGTAGCGTTTCCTGTTTCTGGGTGTTACTCCCAAGGTTTTTGTTAGGACTAAGCTGAGGTATATGTTAAAGGAGAGGTCCAGAAGTGTTTAAGATGCTATAAGTCATTAACAGAGAAAATAATAAAGGAGAGAAAAATTGGTTAACCATAGTAAGATATTATCCTTAGTTCTTAAGAATAGGTCAAGCTCCCTCATAAAGGACTCTTAGGAAGTCGCTTGGACTAGCAAAGCCGGCAGTAAATTGCAGCATTTGACAACTCTTAAGGAGTAGAAAATGTGTCTACATTCCGTTCTCCTGTGTTGTATCTCTAGTTTCTGGGTGTTACCCCTAAGTTTTGTGTTGGAGCTAAACTTATGTTTGAGGGGATATCTAGAAGCGTTAAGGATACTATATGCCATTAGTAGGTCACGTCTAAGACGCCTATACTCTAATGTGTTATATCCTAGTGAAGATTACATTACGAGTAACTTCTGAGACCCATTAATGGACTAATATTATTTATGTATTCTTATGGTATAAATATTCAGTAACTAGGTTATGTATATCTATATTTCCCTTGTTATAAGCTTTATTTTGACTTATAATTCATTATTATATGATTTACTGTTCTTAAGCTATGTTCAGTTTATTGACTACTGTCTCCCTCATTCACAGTCACTTTTTGGCTTTAATGTGTACAAATGTTATTTCCTATTTTATGCTGCGTTGCGGTCTGTTTGGTTGATATATAAACCCAGTATGTCTGAAATAAATGATTCGATTTGATTCGCAAAGTGAAAGCTAGTATTGGTGTTCTGAACTCAGGTGGACAGGCTAGACAGACGTAGGACCAATAAGGACGCTAGACTGCTCATACCGGTCGAACGACGTTGGTTTGACACAGTGCTAAAATTGTATACGTTGTATTTTGATTGGTGAATAACTCACGTGATAAAAAGCCGGACATAATGGGTAAACGTTTAGTGGTTGAAGGCGCTCTTCATAAGGCTTGAATTTGAGTCCCCGAACTAATTTCGTAGCTTGCCGTCGGATACGCCCCAGAGTGTTTTTATCCTCTTAGAGGAAGACAATCTATATCACTAATTGATTGACTTATTCTCAATCATAAAGAGCCTGATACATACAAAATGTTCTGCCTTACAAACACAGGTGGAATGAGGTCATTGCCCTCACCATCAATGCTTGCTAGTCAGTAACTCCCCCTCCCCCTTTTAGGATGTTAGGCTCATTTAAGCTTTTTTTGGATATATGTCATACCTCACACAGTCCTCTGTGTTTCACATTCTGTTGGAAAACACTATTTCTATAAGTACCACTTTACAAGCTTATCAGGCAGTTACAAGTTATGGACTGTGGGTAGGGCATCGATGCAGTGCTTTAATTGACTATAGTATAAAGTATGGTTTGCCAATTACAGTATAAGCATTAAGGAGGGTATAATGTAGGATAGTTTTCCATTAAAGCAGGCGGAAAAGTATAGAAGTATATGAGTTGTAGATAAAGTAACGAGTGGAAAAATAATATTAATTGCTAGTCAGCATGGTGTACAGAAAAGTAAAAAGCTAATAAAGAATAAACAGAACGAAACTCACACTGACTTGGTGCTGATGTTATTTTGTGTTGTCATAACCAGTTGATGGGTAACAGGCTCCATAGATGCAAGACCACTGGTAGTAGACAGTCGATTGTGCGGTTCTCTTGACATTTTCATAGTGGTAGTGAGTGTCCCTTAGCTACCGAGTTTAGTTGAACAGTATCGATAGGTCCAGTGAGTTAACCGTCCACTTCAAGTGAAGAAATAGGGTGAAAAAATTAACTAATACAACTGCAAAGTAGGAAAAATAAGGCAAACTGAACTTGAAGTCCACTTTGGTCTAGACGTGTAGAGAGCCTATGGTGTCTGAGTGGGGCGCAGATGTGTTCGTACATGCTAGATCAGTGAAAGTGAGGACTTGATCTAGTAGTTGTACGAACGTATGTAATTCATCTACCATGCATATTTCGGAGATAAAACCGTTCCATATTATTTCATACTTGATGAGGAAGAAGTTTTCGCGAGTTTTTTTACCTGTATTTCTCAACTTTGACCGTAGATACTTTGTTTCGAAGTTCGTATTCATGTGAATCTCGGGTAAGAACTATCTTACATGTTAAATAAGTAAGGTTTTCGAGTAGCTTGAAGTAGTGAATCAAATTAGACCCGAGCCTTCTCTCCCAAAAGGGTGCTATTATTAAAATTCGGCATCGGGAACTGTAGTCAATGACTGAGTCAGTCTTAAGTATTTTAGGGGTGAAGTCTCGTTGTATTCCTTCCACCTTTAGTATATCAGATAGGCGTAGGTTGGAAAACAAGAACGAGCAGTATTCAACGATAGGTCTTACATAAACTTTATAAAGAAGGGTCTTAGATTCACCTAGATAGAAATTACGGAAAATGACGCCAATCAATTTCCGCATTTTAGATGGTTTGGCTGAGATGTGCTCAGAAAAATTACAACTGTGTGAGTTATGTACACCTAGGTCAGTTAATGATGCCAGTCTGGACAGTGTGTGGTTGTTAAGTGTTAGTTTTATTTTAAGACATGTCTCCTATACATAACCAGCCGCATTTCCCTGTGTTGAGCTCTAACCAGTTGTCTATCATGCTGAGTTCATGTCGGATAGTTTGGATAGTACTACGTGTAAGATCCATTTTGAATGCCTTGTGTGTTTGTGAAAATCCCCCCATGTATATACTTGCACTTTGTCCTATTGATCCTCTTAGTTGTACATTGTTAACTTTTTGACTACATTTGAATTGTTAATATTTGTATTTATTATAGTTTTCGTTTTTACTACACCTTCACTAATCCCCCGTGTTTCTTCCCGAACTGTACTTATGCTGTTTTACTTTATACTAAGTCTGGAGGCAGCCATTTTGGTTTGTCCCTGCTTTTGATTGCTTGACCTGTGTTGACTGGAATTGTGCATTTTGGTTGTGAATTGAAGCACTCTTCCAAAATTGAAACCACTCTGTGTTATAGAGCGACCAATTATTACCTTTTGAACGAATCTGTACGTGATCTATCCAGACAGGATAGAATAACATTTATTTGTGGTGATTGATTTGATCAATTGAACAATTATTGGTTGGATAGCTGAGTGGTTATATTTGTTTAGGTAATACTGTACACTTAAATTTATGAAAAATTATAGAACCGTCATCTTATCCAATTACTTTGTTTTGGTTTTAAACGGGCGAGGGCTCGTATCTAACTCATCCAGACAGCTGTCCAGCAGTCCAAACCCTAGTTTAGATCTTACACTACGTACACAGCAAATGTCAGTTTTATAGACGGGGTAGGTCTTACGTGTGCTAAACCACTTGCATATATTGTTGATTTAGATTATAAAGAGCGATGAACCCAAGACACTTCCCTCCACAACACCACTGGTTACTGGTCGAGGTGTAGATTTTGTAGAGTTAATCTTGGTTATTTGGTATCTTTTCGTAAGAAAAGACTTGATCCATTGCAAAAGGGGATTTAAAATTCCAACTGACTTAAGTCTGTTGATTAGAAGATCATGAGGTACTTTATCAAAGGCGTTCTTAATATCGAAATATAGTATAACCACAAGTGGACCAATTAATTAAACGTGATTTGATGCATAATCGTTCGAGTTCATTGATATGACATATATTATTGGCGCTTAAAATAAGCTTTTTAGAAGTGAAGGTATGTGACGTCAAACTTCTCCTTGCGATTAAGGATGGTTTTCAATCTGTCCATCACTCTCAACAGGTTGGTTATACGAGAGTGACCTTTAATGAAACCATGCTTTTGGAGTGAAAAGAAGTTTATGGATAGTAAGTAGTCACGTAGACAGTCGCATATCAAGGACTGCATATTTTTGAGGGTAATGAGTTAAGTGCTACCGGCCCGTGGCTTGAATTATCGCTGCGTCAATTAGTGTGAATAAAGCCAGCTTCCAATTTTCTGGTAACCTGCCTCGGCTTAGCGAATGTGAGAATATCATGCTAAGCAGTTTTGCCAAGATTGAGTCTGGTTCCATAATAATAGGAGAATGAACCATATCCGGACCAGAAGTGTCATTTTTTAGGCGCTGCAGTTTCCGGTGCACCAAGTCGGAGCTCAGGTTCACTTCTGAGACTCCTGTTTAGTTGCAGGTAGAGCTCTCGTCAATATAGTTAGTATGAGTTGGTTGAAATTTCCAAAAGTATTTTTCTGTCAAAAGGTCGGTGGCGTCGTTATCGTTGTTGCTTGGACCATTAGAACCTAGGAGTTAAGAAACCCCGGCTATGGCTTATCGAAGATAGGCTGTACGACGGGATAAGCATTTCGGACTGGAGACAAATTTATCTATTAACTTCACCTGATAGTGAATACTGTCTTCTCTTAGTGTCTTTGTGCATTGGTTCTGTATTATATTGATTTGCCTGTACGCGCTGTTGTTACTAGTACGCTTGTATTCCTCCCTGTAGTGTCTTTTGCGGCTTAGCAAGTGCAGAGTACGATTCTTGATGACTGTAGGTTGTTTGTAGATTTTAGGGACCATTTGAGGAAAAGACTGTCTTGTAGCACATAAGATCATGTACAGTAAGGAACCCCAATGAGCATACACATCAAGTTGTGAATGAACTTCCCAATCCACCTGTTGTAGATTGTCCTGTAAAACAGAAATATCCAACCGTTTGATATTTCAACGCCGGCTATTGGTAGGATGGCTTGGCTCACTTTTGCCGATAAGACTAGAGGCTGTGACGGTGTGATCACTTCAACCCAATGGAACCAAGCGTGAGAGGTTGTCAACCAGGAATTCTTCATTTGTGAGTGGGCAGACTAAGAGCGACAGCGTCTGACTGTTTCTCCAACGAGTTGGAGACTTGAAATTTTCGAATAATCCCTGATTTTTTACTGAGGTCGAAGAACTGAGGTTCAATGAGGTTGTCACTTCCTATGTAGGTATTTTTAACGATGGTGACTTTAGAATGATTAAAGTCTCCTAGAATCATGATATGAGTGAGTCCGAAACGAATAAGGCTAAATAATCCTTCCAGTATACGTTTGTCAATCTGGGTGTCAGCAATGGGCTTCCATTATATGACTTTCACTAGACACCTGGAGGTGTTAGACAGTTAAACCAAGGCCCATACAAAAGCATGAATCCTTGGGTGTAAACTTGATATCCTATCAAGCAAAATTGCAAGTACAGGGCTACAGTAAAATGTTCAGCCGTCGTAATGAAGAAGGCATTTACGTCCAGAAATCTCAAATAAAGACACTGCACTCAATCTACAGAAAAACCAGTTTTAAACTCCGAATACTCCTGAGTGTTATAACATATTTCTGAAAGTTGACAGTATAGCAATATATAGGTTAGATAATTTTCATAAATATATTGTAAATATCTCCTCTTTCTATACGTCGCTGTATATGTAGTCATATCTGTACTTATTGCTCGGTTGTATCAGTTTTAGGTGGACTTCACACGTAGTTCACTTATGCCTCTGTAGCAGTAAATAAATCCCGAACTGACTAATTCTGTAAGTCTTCAATATTGACGCTAACCTCACTAACTTTGCTGGACACATCCCAGATGAAGGCACACGGTCACGCACCGCGCCAGCTTAGATCAAGCGCTTGCCTACATATCGATAGCTTTCCAAGTATATATTCAGACCCCTTCATTTCTGACTTTTGATTGAGTTGGTATATTTCGATTATAAAGGTGTTAGGCATAAAAGCGTTGTAAAACCCCTGATACTTGTGACATTTTTGCAGCAATCCCACTTCCTTGAAAAGATTCATGACAAAAACAGCTGGACTTGAAGAAATTGCTTGATTTACACCGGCTTTTTACAACTTAAACAATTTTTAAAAAAATCATAGTGATTTGTAGAATCTTAAAGGTTATAATTAAAAAAAAACTGTAAGAATACGCTTTAAACATGTCTGTACATTTTTGGTGATTGACAAAATTAATAACAGTCGATACATGAAGGATGTTATTTGAGATTTCGTTTTGGTAAGTCATCACAAATAGAGCCCAACTAGTCGACAAATACTTAGCTGCATCAATGGAGCTGAGGGTGTAATGAAATGAATAGGTTCATAAATGTTTCTGGTGATATAACCCAATAGTTCCACTCAGCGGATGACTGATTACACAATGGATAATCCTGGAATCACCAGGTTTTGTTTCAGTTTCCGATTTAGGCTTATATCACCTTTGAAATTATAAATTCCCATATTGTTATTTAGAACAACATATATGATCGAACAAAATTGTTTTCGATATGATACTCATCAGGCTTCACTGTAGTATACAGTAATATATATATGCATAAACAAAATGATTAAGCCAATCAAGGTAGCTTATAATAAAGTGATGACTGTGGAATGGATTACGTAAATTAGCATATTAACAGAGTACGAATTGATTGTATGATGACAGGTGTATTAGTTGCAATAAGAATAACAAATGCTTATATGCATGTTTCATAATGAGAATTAGGTCAGTGTTTTGAAAAAAATATAGGTGTTGCAATAAGATTCATAAAACCTATTAGACCACTTAACAAAAGGCGTTTTGATAATTGAACTAACTATTAACTCTATATTTAGGAAAAATTAGATGAGAGTTAGTGAAAAAGGTAAACGAGCGGAGTATGAAATTTATTAAATAAAACCATTTATAAGGTCAAAGAAGAGATGTGTTACAAAGTCTTGTGAACACGAAGACTTGGAATGTCTTCTCGAATTCCTATGGCTTCTATTATGTGTAAGAGACGAGACCGAACCACATAATGAAGACCAGTAGGGATACGATAAAACACTATGAATGACTTATTCCCATCTACTGCTTGACTGCCGTCGATAGAACAGAGCTGGGTATTGTTTCGAGGACACTTTCCTAACCGCGAAGAAAGGTGTTCACTAACCCGTTTGATCGGTTGCCTAGTTGTGCACCCAGTATAGCTTTCTCCACAGGAGAAGCTGAATTTGTAGATAGGCATAGATGTATCAGAACCAGGTAACTTATCCTTTAGTTGAAGAATCACCACAGATCTGGTCGAGTGCAAAGGTCACCTACATTAAACGTACCATCACTGCTCTAGTCAGTCCATCCCGTAGAACATCACCAGTTATATCATTGTTGAACTGCATCTTCAGAAATAGGTGTCTTGCTAGCCGTTCATGTCGCTACTTACCTGTTTATCACATGCAAGTGGTTCTTTGGAAAGCCTTGTGGATAGCTCATTTCAATCAACACAGCTTTAGTTCCTTGTTCACAGTATTGTCTGAGTATATCTTCCTAGCTCTATTTCCAAGACATCCAACTAGGTTACGCTATAACTAATTGGTACAAGGCCTAAGAGATGTGTGATTACTGAAAGTTTATTGTTAAGTAGCCGTTATAGATCTTATTTTCCGATTTTCTGATCAATGAAAATAAAGGTATTATTAATTTAACATCAATGAAAGTCAAGCTTATTAATCAATCAGTTTGTCCATAATATGTGTTAAAGAAGACAAGATGGACCCTAAGTGTACATTTTAAAAGTAATTCTTTGAGAATAACCTTAGAAATTTCTATATTGATCTGTTTTTCAAGTAGTTATTGACACTCAATGTCAATAGTTTCAGTTAACAATACATTTATGAACAAGGAAGCGATAACTAGATACCATCCGTTTACCCTTTAAGTTTATATGTCCCACCTTGGAAGTGAATTCCAAGACGCTCTTACACTTCTCTTGACGACTAGTTTGTGTGAGGGATCTAGGATTCTTACTAACTTTTCAATATTATGGTATGGCGAATTATGCATATTTATATATGAATATAAATATTACTGTATACTAGAGCAAATTATGATGAGGATTTAGTATAAAACAATATTTTTTTGTTTATATATGTTTTTCTAACTCTGCAAGCTTGTCGCAAAGGTATTGGACATGATATCAACCCTCAATTTTCAGTTAGTACGCTACTTCATATATATTTGTTCGTATGAGTTCGGGTAAATGCAGCGTCTTTTGTGCATGATTTTTAATAGGACCTAAAACCCTGAAAAGAAAGCCTGATGAATCTGTTAGTGATCAGGTCCCAGTTAAAGTAATTGAAAAATCAAGTGAGGGTTCTCGACGTCCTGCGATTATAAGTCCTATCAAATTAAATGTACCCACACAGGTTGGATATTGTTAATAATGTCGTGTAGATTACCTCTAAAGGATTTTACACCTGAAATCCCTAAAAAGGTAGACAGCAAGGTCCGTGAAGTCTTCAACTCAGATGAGGAAGTGAGTTATGTCTTAGATCTCAAAGTATACTCGTCTACAGAGTGAGGAAGAGGAAATTCCAACGGAAGCCAGAATACGAATGCGAAATTTAGGAAGGTATTTATGGACGTTTTTATCCGTAGGCATTTCTATATATTTACATATTCAGTAAACCATTTGAAACTTCGAAATGTTGTATAGATAATCATGTCACTATTCACCCAACGTTATCATATAGTTAGTCATCATACTAATCTAAAGCTAACAGAGACTTTTACGACGTGTGACCGTCTGCTTCTGTCTAGTTTCATTAACGCTAACCTTAAACTACTTCCTTACAGAAACTAAGATCTCATGATGTCATGCTTTCATTAAAAATTTTATGTTCAAGTATACAGTCTGTGTAGGTACTCTAATAAGTGCATTTCTATACTGAACTCTCTAGTCTGTGGCTAATATGTTCATATTTAGTCATTCCGACACACTTGATGGTTGAATCGTCTACAATATTACAACCTCAATGTAGTGAGGGTCTCCTAGATACTTCGTTGGTAATTTCTCCAAATACTTATTCAGGTCAAAATCCGATAATGAGTGGTATAGGTTAATAATTTAGCGCGAGCAATTAAACACTAAATGTGGTCACCATTTTGGTTCTCAATATTTTTTCAATCGACCGGCTTGTTTTCGAAGGTTATTCCCTGTAGTATGATAGGGAAGCTGATTTAATCACAATTTACCTCATAATTAAATTCCTCTTCAGATTATATGCTCTGGAATTTATTCGCTTTAAACCTCAAAAATTTCGAGTAGTTTCTCAATATTGATCAGTGCTAAACAAAATGCAACAACAATGATAGTCAGAAACTATCTGTTCATATTTATCGTTGGCTCCTGCCTAGAAATAAGGAACTGCGTCGATACAGATTTTTAATTTGAATATTCAATTGTCCCAGTTTATAAGAATAAATTATTAACCCGTGATAAATGTTTCCTTTCACCCAAATTTTCGCCTGTAAAGTAGTCATTGTTGTAATTTTGTGAAACTAGGTTGGAACTCTTGAAGGATAAAGCGAAAACCAGACTAATACTAAAGCAGATAATTAAGTAATCTGACTCACTGGTTACTCTTGTTTTATGGTCGATCAAGTCAGTTGCCCAATAGTTACGGAAAATAATAGAAAACAATCATCGGGCTTCAAACTTAATGGTCACAAAAACATACAGCTAGGATTTTAATTCAGCTCACAACAAACAATAGTTCTCTTTGAACACAGTACATACACATTTAAGCAAGCTTTTCTGGTTAAAAATTCAAGCTGTTCATGACATACCTAAGTAATACTCAGTAAAATAAGAAAGTTCAGACAACTTTAAACGAGAGTTGCCAACATTTAAGAGTATTTTTATACACATAGTTCCCTTTCTTATTTTGAAATGAGTATGAACAAAGATTGTAGCCGAATAACACAAATTCATTTTATTTCGTCGGTTCTCATTAGCTGCTTACAACCTGTGATATTTGAAAGTCATAATTACAAAATGGGCTTAAATTACTTACGTGAGAGATTTTGTTTGGAAGTTATTTTGAAGATACATCAGTTATAGTGTAGGAAGTGTGTGAATAAATTTAATAGACTGAATATCGGAAATATATACCTTATGTAAAAGAAACTTCTACAATATTGATTGTGACAACAGTTCAAAAGGCCAGAAACAAGCGATTACACAATGAGTAAACGCTGATGGGAATAAAACGAGTAAAGCTACGTTAATAAGATTAATCTGGAAGTTAGTTGAAATAGAAAACCAAATAATGTAATGAATGCAAGGAAGAGTTTTAAAAGAGTTTAAGATGCAACAAAGGAATATTTGCCACCAAGACAATGAGAGATTAGCAACCATCAACTTTTGAACACATAAATCAGGCTATTGACGCCTGATAGCAACGGCTTCAGCAAACGTCAAAAGACTGGTGTTTGGCTGATTTATGATTAAGGTTAGGAATTGTATTTAAGGTTTTCGTCACGAACTGACATCAGCTATAATGCCAAAACTCTTTTTTCCGAATGGGTGAGTAGATTTCGCACCAAAATCCGAGACCTGTTATCTTACGCCTGATAGGCTTGTTCATATAATATAGTCCCGCCGCCAGTTTTAATTTCATTGTTCAAGTTTCTTAATTTATCTAGATTCATTGAAATGTTTCAACCAATTTGAACAACTCCGGATACTTATTTGATTTATTAAATCTATTTCATTCGTTCGAGTTTTCATGATCATATTGCAATACTAGACTATAAGTTTAGAAAAAGATATGTAATAATTAACGAGCTCTACGCCACGGATTATAGATTTCGCTCGATTTCCCTACTTTACAGATGATTATGTATGAATATAAAAATAACAGGATTGGATTGAACACATAAAACATTTATTTATTTTAACACATAGATATTGGTACAAGGAGGCACCAAATACATATGCACCACACAAATCTCATTCGATATTTGTGGGAGCTGTGATACATTTATGGCACCTACAAGTGCATATCGAGAATACAAAAGCATACAGATAACGGAAAATCATTCACTTGTTAACATTAGGTAGTGATTTCTCGGTAAAATTATAACATTAAATATAAGCTCGAGATATTAACACATGGCCATGTATGTCCAAGTATGTGCTCATTTTGAGTGGCCCATTAAAGAATTCTTTAAAACGAAACCGACAATTTGTCTTGTAATGGTTTTTTTTCGGTATCAACAGAGTCTAATTATATGTGCACATTTGACAATTGTAAAACATACTATTAAATAAGTACTGTTATATAAGATAATAGTGTCTAAGTTTGCCAACGTCAGAAATTTTTAATATCTACAACTGAATAGTATAGTTTGATCTCTCAGCTTTCCCCAACATAATCTTTGACGTTTTAATTGGTTGCATAATTTTCGAGAATCATCGATGTAATTAATTCAGTTAACATAAATCAAAGTTATGTGGTAGCTCAAACATCATTACAGAGTAAATGTTGCCGGTATAATATACTTTAAACTGTTGGATAGTATAGTTTGTTGCCTAAAAAGTATAGTTACCATGTGAGATTTCAATAGACAATTTGATATTTCATCTGACGTGTTATTTTACTACCAAAACTAAACAGCAGAATTCTGATCTGCCTGAACCTAGGCAATTTTCATTGTTCATGCGTTAAAGTTACTTTGAACAATGTTACTTGCTTCAGTGGTCGAAAACTGTGTAGCAAATCAGTTCAAAGCGTACAGTAGATTGTATCTAGTCAAAAGCAGTGTGAAATGATAAGTCTTTTGGAGACTAAATAATGTAGTTCACTTTAAATCTACTTCAACTGGAAATGTTGAGTTTAAATTTTACGTATCGATATTTATCTTATTTGTTTTCCTTGAGGATCAACTCACTTCGCTTATTTAACACAATCTCACTTAATCTAACCGAAGTAAAACAACTTTAAAATATCAGAAGGGGTGTTGTGGAGATTGTAGTAATTTCAACACTTGAGATCATGAGTCAATTGAAGCTGGACCACCATGGAAAACCTGGAAGCACTGGACGGCCACTTCGTCCTATTGTGGGACTCCTCAGCAGCGCGCATCCATGACCTCGCCTCGAGGAATGCAAACCCAGGACCTATCGGTCTCGCGCCAGGTGCTTAACCAACTCGACCACTGAGCCGGCATCCAGCGGTGTTAATGTCTAACTTCAACTAATCCACGAGATTGAGCGACACACCCACCATTGTCATCAGTGAGTTACTACCTCACAACTGACCCGGTTGAACCCCACTGGTCATTGCGCGAGACCGATAGGTCCTGGGTTCGATTCCCGCGGGGCGGGGTTGTGAATGCGCGCTGCCGAGGAGTCCAACAATAGGACGAAACGGTCGTCCAGTGCTTCCATGGTGGTCTAGCTTCAATTGACTCATGATCTCAACCGTTGGAACTTTACAGTATATAAATTGTAGCTATATAAAACACCTATGATTGTATTGATGACACTACTGACTGATGGGAATCAACATATAGGATTACTCTCAATGAAAATAACTTATAAAACTCTTAATAAACATACGATATGATAATACAAACTTAATTAGATTTTAAATGCTATAATAAACTGATCTTTATTTTCTTTTTTTAGGTACACTCCCACATCTTGCGGTCCAAATTCTTTTGGAAAAGGAAGATTTGGTTTTGTTGATCGTAGAGCATTACTTAATAAACAAACAGAAGCATTGAATGAAGCAGTTTCAGGAGAGAATGAACGTTAGGTATCATATTACTTAAGCAATCAAAACTACAATATATCAAGCAAAAAATCACCACCACTACTAACAAAATCGTTTCCAAGTATTTATCCACCATTGATTGTGTGTGTGTATAAAAGGAAATGTTAATGATAATTGTAATTATGTTTAATTTTCTTTATTCTTCTCAGCAACAAAAACAAAACAAAACTCAATGAATATTTATATCAGATTTATTTTATACTTGTTTTTATTTTTATATCATGTCGATAATGACTGAGTAAAGCTAAAAATAGAGCAGCAGATACACGTGCATTAAGATCAGCATTTTCAACATCATGATAAGAAGGAACATCTCCCCAACGATTAACCTAAGATAAAACAAAAAACAATACAAATCAATAATATTCACTTGAAGATGAATAAAAATAACTTGGTATATATGTACAAGCTGTAGATATATAAGATTGGGATTAGATGGTGATTGGAGGTAGTCGACAGGAAACCCTGGACCCGAGTTTCGTGCTACTTGGCACTCGTCAGCAAGGTGTACCTGTAATCTTGGGGGAATTGGTGCTCCCTGGCGGAACCGATCTCATGTCACCCAGCTTCACAGTCAGAGACGTTACCACTGAGCTATCCGAGCCGCGACCGACCTCCTGTAGGACTGAGATGTAATTACAATTGATTGATCACTGGGTGGCGATCAATGTCATGTCATCTCAATATATAGTGCCCGCAGTGTCGAGTCACCTAGACTGGTGGCCACATTGCAACATGATCGATAGCATTCGATCTGCACCAATAAGGACTAGACACACATAATATTGATCGCAACCCAGTGATCAATCAATTGTGATATATAAGATTATTAGTCAAAGTCTTCTTAATGAAATATAAACTAGTTGACTAAAACTTGATAGGTTGAAAGAATGAGTATTGCAGTGTGCATTGATTAGTCTTAGTTTAAAGATAAGCGCCAGATTAAAACGTGGATCATAGTATAGGAGTTCCTTTTTACAACATTTAAACTTCAGTATACAATTTTTCTTACATATTATGAATAGGCAAATCTTATCTATAATTTGAATCCAAGGCATTGTTGCTCAGATTGAACTAATTAGTATTAAGAATACGGAATCTCCATGTACAACTTGGGAAAAAATCAATATCGTTTTGAGATGAATGTAAGGTTAGCTGACGATACATTCTCTGTGGATCTTCAAACCATTTTTACTGTGATTTATGTTCTATGATAATTACTCAGTCTATACAGTTTAATAACCGTATTCAATATATAACTGATAAACTTAAATGTATTTTTATTTCCTTTGGGTTCTGGACCAATAAAGCTTGGATTATGAGACGGGACTTTTCACTCTAATTAGAGCAGAGGGGAAGATGATAGTTATCTCGTTCACTACAATGAAGTCGCATTGTCGGAATAGTAGCTTAGCACACGACATATCAATGGAGTAATCCACAGTTAGCACAGAGTCTCATATCACATCAGGACGATAAGATTCAACTTACAATATAAAGATAACAAAGCAGCCGAAATAATTGCAGTGCTAATGACAGTGAGGAGGATTACAAGCTGAGAATGTGAAGTGAGAAAGTACGTATGAGGGAATGCTTGGACTAAAGATCTAAGAAAGTATGAAGAGTGAATTTATCTGTGCCATGTAATAAATTTTCAGCCATATCACACATCATTCTCAACCTATTGTTAAGATAATTTAGCGAATTCTGATCAGGTAATCTGTACGTATCAATATGACTCGAACCAGCTGTCAATGACTTGATAGACTGATGCCAATTATTGGTTTGGATGACTTTAACTTTCTTTTAATCCATTCTTATACCAGCAAACCATCACGTTGAGGTAGGCGGTGGTTCAGCATAGTAGTAGTATACATGTCCTAACAATCTAAGTGAATAAATATCCTGAAATCTCATAAATAGATTTAGCATCCTGCATTTACAATACAATAAATTAGCTGGTAGTGATGAATAATTGGATTTAGCGTAGAGTGTGGATGCTAGGCGTTGCTAGCCAGATTATTATGTGGAAATGCAAAATGTTACTTAAGAACTGGTATGGGTCATCTCCTGAACTAATAATATGAAATGAAGTTGTTGAATGTTTCACTTTACTTGGAAATCTCATCAGCCCTAGTGGGTTGATATCTGACGAAATCTTGGCACCGATTTAGAAAGCGCAGTTACCCCTACAAACTTGTGGCGTAAATGAAATGTTTGTCTAACAATCAAATGGCATATGTACTGCGCAGCACTTTGACCTGTTGCACTTTATAGCTGTGAAGAAAACATATATGGAATACCCGGTTTTTAATCATAGATGTTCTCAAAGGGTTGTCCGCACTTCGTGGAACCACCTAGTAAGGAATATTGATGCTAGGCATAGGGAGCAAACTTGCCGGTAAAATTGTGAATCTTCATTAACCGAGATAGTTGAGATATGTGTTACATATGACGAACCATTGCCTATCTCGGCGCGCAATGACGTCTCATGTAGGAGCAGACTTTAAGAAAGCAAATGACGCCCAAACCAAGACTTGGCATCATTCCATGAAGTCATTGACTATATTTCAGAGCCATATAAGTAGATGCAGACTATCTGGATGGGATTAGCGTAATAACCACGATCAGAGGGTTGAAACTTAGGTTGATATGACTCAGAATTGTCCACAATTGTGTGGATGCTTTAACTTCTCAATCATAAATTTCTTCATTTCCACTGTCTTTTCATACCATGTTCCCAATGCTGAATCTCTTTCAACATTCGAATCTCTTTTGTCACATGTTTTGTTAGTTTCATCTCGTCATCCTAATGTGGTACGAAAACGTGGAGTTAACCCATATATATAGTTAGATATTTGAATACTGAAACTTTATAGTGATGTAATCTAATT